AAGAAAGGAAGAAAGGAAGAAAGGAAGAAAGAAAGAAAGAAAGAAAGAAAGAAAGAAAGAAAGAAAGAAAGAAAGAGAAAGAAAGAAAGAAAGAAAGAAAGAAAGAAAGAAAGAAAGAAAGAAAGAAAGAAAGAAAGAAAGAAAGAAAGAAAAAGAAATTATGTTTCCTCTGGAAAATCCCTTTCCCTCTGAGGATGTTTCCCCTCTGAAGAATGCAATGTATGGGCCAGCAGGCAGGAGGATCCTCCTTCATTCTGGACTTTGTTGATTCTGTGGCTCCAAAGCAGAGTCCCTGCAGAAATTTGGGGAACTCAGCAAGGTCTCCAGCCAGGCTTTGCACAAGGGCCTTGCCCTGTTTGTCCTGGCCAGGCCTGGTGCCTCCCTCTCTGAGGCAGCCTGGCCCTTCCTGCCCCCGCCCTTGCCGCTCCCTTTGCAGCCCCCTCCACACACTCGCAGGTAAAGCCCAGAGCTGAGGATGGGATCCCAGCGCCCCCACCCGGGTCCTTCCTCCTTCCCTCCCTCCCTGGCGCCCATTAGCTCGCTGAGGCAGTGGGGGCGGTGGCTGCCAGAGTCTCCGTGCCAGGCCCAGCCCCCAGAGACGCACCTGTTCTGACCTGCTGAGCAGGTTCCCAGGTTTCTGCCGTCGTTGTTGGCCACGGCGTGGGAAGCAGCTCTGGGGGAGCTCGGAGCTCCCAATCACGGCTTCTGGGGGTAACCACGGCTCGGTGGGTAGAACAGGGCTGGGTCCCCTAGCGGAGACCCAAGTGGGATAGGCAGGTAGTCAGCACCCGGGAAATCCACGGCCTCCTGCCTTGTGGGTTGTGCCTCATCCAGCTCTAGAACCGGCTCCCAGGGAGAACTCGGTGGAACTTCAGAAACACTGGGCAGGTCTCCTTCCAGCCAATGCCCCTGTCCCTGGGAGCCGAGATGTGGGGACCTGAAGCCTGGCTGCTGCTGCTGCTGCTCCTGGCATCATTCACAGGTAGGACGTGCCTGAACCATCAGGACCCCGGCTTCTGCGCTCAGCCTGGCACAGACACGCACACACAAATCCATAAACATGCACGCACTCACGCACGCACACATTCTCTTTCCTCACATTCCTGATGGAAGAGCCAGCGTCTCTCAGCAGTACCCCCAGAAGAGCCTGGTGCAGTTCTTCCTTTTCAGGTCTCCTCTTGGCCCCCAGGCAGGTGACCATGTCGGTGTTCCCTGGCCTCCTCTGCCAAAGCCTGAGTTGGTGGGAGTGGGGGTAGATTTGTGACCCAGGGTAAGTGAGCAGGAGTGTGGAACTGGTGAGGACCCTGCTCATCCCAAGGGCGTCCCAGAGGTGCCTTAGCCTGTGCCAGGGCTCCCAAACTTCTGTTGAGACCAAGGGCTGACTCAGGGCTGAGCTGGCCTCCATAGTCATCGGGGCAGGAAGCCTGATGTCCAGGGAGCAGATGGGGCATTTCTTTCTCCTTCTCTTCTCTTTAGGATTATCTAGGGCACCAGGACTGGGGTGCCTGTTGATGACTATGGGGAAGTTGAGAACCCTTTTGTGGCTCTTCTCTTTCCCTGGGCACACACTATTAGGTGCCATGGCAGCAGTATAGTTAGAGGGCTGGAGATCTGGGGTAGGGGGCTTCCTAGATAGGGTGTGGTCCCTTTTGTTCCTTCATCCCTTGTCTCTTATTTCCTCGACTAGATGCCTATACTACTCTGTACTTCCTGCTTGTCTAATGTGTGCAGAGCAGACATAAATGAGAGGAATTTACAGTCTTCAGAGTGGGGGGCTCTGAAGGTGTGTGTGAATGCACACGGGGAGGCCACAGTGGGATGCCATGGGTTATTGACAGAGTAATGAATAACAGAATCTTTCTCACTGGAAAGCCGGGGCCCGTGTGGATGGGACAGTTGGATCCTCAGCCTCAGAAGCAGGAGGGAGGGAGCTTCAGTTGTCCAGCAGGCCTTGGCCATGACTCTCCTACCCTCAACCCCAGCTGAAGTTCTCAGGAAGAGAACAAGGCCTAGCAGTCTGGATTGGCAGGGCTGAGGTCTCACAATGGAAGGATCATGGACCCAACCTCCAATCTCAGGATCCAGAGCTCCAGCTCCTGCCATCCCTACTTCCCATGACCCTGTGTCTTAATTTCCATCTTCCAAACAACCCTTCTTCCTTGCTCAGGCCAAGAGGGTGGGGTCTGGTTGCTGGGGCCAAAGAACCGAGCAGGCACTTTCCTGTAGGGTCTACCCACACCTGACGAATGGAGTCATGCTGTCTCAGGACTTGGAAGGGATCAAAGAGATCACTCCAACTTCTGCACTTTACAGATGGCAAAACAAAGATAGGCAGGTGAGATCTGCAAGATCGCCCATGTTAGGAGCATAACTAGGATTAGTGTCTTGGTCTCCTGACTCCTCACTGCATGCACATTGGGTACATTGAAGGTATTAGATGCTGGGGAATAAGACACGATTCCTACTTTCTCTCTCCATGAAGCAAAACTGTTCTTTCCAAGAGAAGCCCAGGGAAGAACAGTGACCTGGTTCTAGTTAGGAAATTACTCCTGACCTCCCCCAGGGCCTGACTGAAAGGAGCTATGTGAGGGAGAAAGCCTGGCTCCAGGATTGCCCCAGGATTCTGGTACCTAGGGAGAGACCACTCTGCAGCTACTGTGTGACTACACAGGGCTAAATGTTGATTTTAGAGCTGGGAGCTAGGTTGGACCCTACCTCTCTAACTCAAGGGTCATATAGTCCCTCCTCTACTGCCACCTCATCTTTGGCTCTTCTGAATGTAGGCATCTCCTTGGGAGCCCCAGGAACCTGAAATGTCCTACATTTCTGAAAAATCCTTGGATTGAGCACTCAGTTCTTGGGTTCTGATCCTATGTCTGCTATTGAACTGCTAGATGACCATGAGCGAACAAAAAATTTAACTTCAATAGGCTAAGAAGCAGGGCTCAACCTTCTATCTCTGAATCCTATGACTCTGATTGTCCAGCCCCTGGCTGATGGGGCATGCTGGGGTGTTGGAAGAGTGGGCAGTCTGGCTGTGGAGATGGAAGGGGGAAAGGGTCCTTGACCTATCTCTAATGGGAATGGAGATCTTTCCCCAGGATACTGCCTTCTTTGCCTTTCTGTAACCTTCTCCCCCAACCTGTGGGCCTTTAGAGCTCTGAGCCCCAGGGCCCTGCCCCACCCCTGACAGTGAGAGAAGCCCAGGCTTGGGAGGCGCCTCCAACACCACAGCTCTTTGTCTTTCCTTAATGGGATGAGTTTCCGGGTGAGGTCCCCTCCTTTCTCCCTCCCCCATCTCCTGCCCTTGAGCTGAAGGACCCAAATCTGAGAGATGCCCCCGCTTAGGATCCTGGTCCTTAGGTCTACGTCTGGGGCCAGTGGGCCCTGCAGGACTAGAGAGTGCACGGTTCTCTGAATCCTGAGATGTACCCTTAGCACCAGCTTTCTGACTGAGGTTAGCTTCCTAGAAAGGGAGGGGCCCTGTCCCTGCTTTTCTACTCCTGTTTACAGAGGGAAACAGGCCCTTGCCCATAGGACCTACCCAGACCCAGACAAGCCAGAAAGGGAAGCTTTCTTCCCTGCCCAAGTGGCAAGAACTAGGAGAATCCCAGGGAAGCCCTTGGCCCCAGTGACCTTGGCTCCATCCTAGTGTTTGAGGTGGCCCGGCTGAGAAGACCCCAGCCACAAAAATGGTGGTAAGGTGTGTAGCATGTTCTGGGCCACAGCCTCAGAATCAGGAGATTCCCCCAGACAGAATGAATGGGGCCAGCCATGGTAGGGAGCAAGACCAGTGGGTGTATACGTGGGTGCCCATATTTTTTGGCCTCCAAAATGTGCCCTTCCACTGGCCGTGAAGTCTAGGCAGGGAGGAGGGGAGTGAAGTGGGGCAGCTGAGTCAGGAGGGCAGGGCGAAAAGGAGCCTTGGGATCTGGGTCTGGGAACAGCGGGTAAAATGACAGAAGTTCAGGACAGGAGTCATCCCCATACCTCCTGGAGGAGGGCTGTAGCTCGGGCGCTGGGATCCCTCTCGCTGAACGGGAGACACTTGGGAGCCGTGGGCCTCAGAAGCTTTTCCCATGGTTTCCTACCTACCCCACCCGTGTGTCCCCAGAGTGGGGGTTGAGACTGTTGAGTTGGGGTGGGGCAGAGCTGGCCTTGGAGGGGGAAGGGGGCCTGGGGGTAGTGGGGGGGTTAGCATCTCGGGAGTTTGAGAGAAGCCCAGTTCTGGGTCTCCCACCCACAGTGTGGCTGTTGTGGTGACTCAGCGGGGCTCAGACTCTGGCTCCGGGGGGTTTAGGGGACTTATCTGTGCTGGGAGCTGTGTCTGGGCCAGAGCAGGCTGCCTGCAGGCCCGTCCTCCCGCATTGTTCTCCTCTCCCTCTATGATTGCTGTGCCCCCTCCCCAGACAGTAATCTGCAGTGGGCGCTCTGCCCGGGGTTGGGAAGCTCTCACTAAGCTGGGGGGCTTAGGACAATGGGGGGTAAGTGAGGGAGGTGGATGAAGGCAGCCAGAGAAAGTCTTGCGGTTTTGAAAGTTCCTTAGCCCTCCAAGGCCAAGGTTATAGGGGGAAGGGAGGACCCAAAGGGGCTTGCTGAGTTGTTTATGGCACCTGCCCTGGTTGGGGGGCTCCTATATCTTTCTTATCCCAAACTGACCTACATCCACAGCTCTGTCTGGTGGAGCAGGTGCTCAGGGGTAAGGCAAGTCAAGAGTTAAACAGCAGAATGAGACCCTAGACAGCTTGGACCCCTCCCCCTAGCCCCCAGGCATGTCCCCCCCTTCCCACCAAACCCACACCACACAGCCTTTACCCCAGGCCTGGAGCCGAAGCTGGTTTTTCTGGTGGTGGCAACAGCAGAGCCCTGACAGATTCCCAGGGTGAGGCCTCCTTGGGGGGCCAGAGGTGCTGGGGGGCCCAGGGGAGTGGCTGGGGGTGGTGAGAAGGGTGGGAGTCCCTGCAGTGAGAACCCAAGGAGTAAGGGAGAGAGTGCTTTGGTTTTGCTCTGTTGGGGAGGTTTGGTGGCAATTTCCCATCCCCCGGAGGCCCGGTGACCTCATCTCTGGGTACCTCCACCTGGAGCCTGAGATGAATCTGCTCTTAAGTGTGCAGGTGAGCCGATGAGGGTGGCCAGGGGCAACGCTCCAGGCAGCCACATAGGGCAAGGCCCCAAAGGCTCTGAGCCACACACTGACCAAGGGCAGCTGAGACAGACAGACATGCGGAAGCCAAGATAAACGACTTGAAAATATTTACTCTGCGTGCAGAGTTCTCCAGGAAAGGCTCACATGCCATGCATACAGGGGTGTGAAGCGCTCATGTCACGGTGCGTGTGCACACGTTCACACACCATTATGTAGCTCTTCCCTCTGGGCATACAAAAACATGTGCACAGACACCGCTGAACAGCAGCTATGAACACACATACGTGTGAAACACTTCTAAGTTCATGGAAGGACATAGCCTTACGTGCACATGAGCTAGAAAGACCAGCAGGCCCTCAGCCAAAGATAAACATACAGACACAAAAGACAACTCACTCCTCCCCCTCACAGACCCACTAGGATGCCTGTGTGCGCCCTATGTGTTCCAGTAGAGGATGCTGATGGGTAAAGGCCCTCAAAAAGAAAGATTTCTTCCACAATGATGCCATGGCTGGGTGTCGGCAGGTGCCAGCCTCAGTTTCCCCTTCTGAGACCAAAGGCCAGGACTCACATAAGAAAGAAAGTTGGGACCCAGAAACCCAGGGACCCTGGGTGGGGTGCAGCCAGCCAGCCCAAGCAAGGAATGGAGGGCCTGTCTGGGAGCGGGCGGGGTACACAAAGGGCAGGGCCCCAAAGAGGCCTGAGGGGGCCTGGCCAGGGGTGGGGGAGGCTGAGGGCAGGGATCCAGTCTGGCCAGTTGGGCCTGTTCTCCCTTGCGCAAGGTGGTGGCGGCTGTGGCTAGGCCTGCTGCTGTGTGGCGGCTTGTGAGTCACCAAGGCTCCTGACCAGCGTCCTGGTGCTCCTGGGAGGAGGGTGGGGAGGGTCAGGAGGAGGACTGCCCAGCAAGTTAGAGTCCATCAGCCTCAGCGAGATTTGCAGGAGAAGGGTCCCTGGGCTTGGCCTAGCCTGGCCACCACATGCCCGCAGGGTGACCTCATCAGGCAGGCGATGTGTCTCCTGTAGTCCGGTGACATCATCGTGCTGACGCCAGGCAGGCACTGGGTGGAGGAGAGGAGGAGGCAGTCCTGGCCTGCCTTGGCCTGGGAGCCTGGGCTCCTGGGTCCATTTAGTCTAGGACAAAGACTAGGGCCCAGGTTCTCTTTACTCTGCAGCCCAATGGCTGGACTAGAGACAAGTAGAGGAGGGTGTTGTCTCACACCGAGATGCTCCTACTGAACAGTGGATTTACTACAATAAGTGGCTATAGGGACATCCAGAAGGGACTTTTCTGTTTTACTGGGTTCTTCATTCTGGAAGGCTTGGGCCTGTCCCTTGGAGGTAGGGAATCTTGAGTTTTTATAAATAGAGACAAGGAGGATTAGATTCAGACATGTGCATGGTACCCAGTTTCTGCTGTGCCCTAAAAAAGTAGCTTTGGGGAAAAATATGGGTTATTTGTGGTGAAATGGGGCAAATGACTGGCAAACAGAGGGAGGGGTATGGGGAATACCCCATGTAACCTTGTTCCCAAAGTGGTCTTTAGAAGAGTGACTGTCCCAGTGGGCATGACTTGGGGCCCCTGTGGGCTGAATAGATACCAGTGTTTAAAGCGGAGGATGTGGTAAGGGGCTCCCATCCCAAGTCCAGCCCAATCCTTCTTTGGCAGCCCTGCCCCCTCCAGTGCCAGGAGGCGAAGGTGCCTGGGAGGGGTGCAGGTGGTTAGCTGGACTCCCAGGCTGGGCAGGGTGGGACCAACATCAGCTTAGGCAGGTCAGGGCCCTGGTATCTGGCCCTGCAGGTCTGTCCCGTCCAGTCCGGGCCCTCCCAGATCCCGGCAGCATCCTCCCTCGCTCTACTCCTGCTAGTGGCAGGGCACAGGACCCCTCCTCTGCTCGAATGGAACCCTCTGGTGCACTCTATGCTTCACTTCCTCCCTCTAGGCCTACCTCCCTCCATTGTGCTTTTTCCCCATCTGGTCCTGAGGTGCTGCTCCCTTTGGCTATGAACCCAAATAGCCACCCTATTCTGCCTCCACCCCACGGTTGCCATGGCACCACTCTCCCTGCTGGCCCAAACAAAAACTGCTCGTTCCTCCCCAGTCTGTTCTTTCCTTCTGCCCACCTTGCTCACTCATTCCTTTGTTATTCATTCATTCGTTCATTCATTCATTCATTCACTCGTTCATTCAATAAACACTCATTAAGCACCAATTATATGGCAGATATGGAGACCACATCCCACTGAGCATGAAATCAGAAACCATGTTTCCCTAAATGATGGATTTCCTACTTTTACAGAGCTCAGTCTGGTGGATCTAGTGGAGGGGCAGACAAGAACACAGCGAGGACCATCTGTGGGATAAAGTACTATGGTGCAGTAAAAGTAGGGTGCCAGAGGAGCCCCAGGTCCAGGCACCCAAATCTGCCAGGGGGTGTGGTGGGGGAGGATTCCAGAAGGAAGTGATGCCTAAGCAGAGTCTTAAGGTGTGAGTAGGAGTTCTCCAGACAATGATGAGTAGGAGCTACCAGACATAGGGAGGAGGGCATTCCAGGCAGCGTACAGTATGAGCAAAGGTGAGGAACAAAAGGGCGTGTGGGGTGCTGGGCAGAGGCAGGGACTATAACCCTTTGGGGTTGCTGGAGTGTAGATCCCAAGGCCAGGAGCTCTTGCCACTCTAGAGCACGCTTCCCCTGTGACCCAGCCCCTGGCCCCAAAGTTCACATTTTACTCCACAGCTCTTTGTTTATTTCTTTCCAGCCCTAGGCTCTGCTCTCTCATAAGTTACCCATCCTGGAAATGCAGCTGGCTTTGAGTCTTTCCTCTCCCTCATCTCTCTTTCTATAGTCAGTGACCACATCCCTGTCAATCTCCCCCAGAAACTGCGCCCACCTTTCTGCCCCAGCACCTCTGTGCCTGAGCAGGAGCTGCAGCTCCTGGTGAGTGCCCTGTGTCCAGTCAGCCTACTTTCTGCTCAGACTGCACATCGCCACTTGGCTCACACCACTGGGTGCCTAAGGAAACTGACGTGACTCCCCATTTCCTTTTGGTGGAATCTGAATCCCTGTTCCTGGCACGGATGGTCCGGGTCAATTTGGCCCCACCCCACCCCAACCATAGTTTCCATTTCTGCTCAACACACATACACACACCCTGCGTTAGCTTGGGTTCTCTTCTCCTACTTCCTGAACCAGTGACTGGCTTACCTTGATCCTTTACCATTAATGCCTTTCTGGGTCTCTCCCCTCCAATCCTACTGACCTCGACACACAATGGCCCGCAACATACCACGGAACACTAAATCAGACTCGCTATTATGTTTTTCTCTGTCTGCTCCCATATGCACCTCTTCCTCCTGTCCAGACCACAGGTCACAGGAGGGTAGGGAAGGGATCCTTATTTGCAGATAAGGCCACATGATGGGTGTCTCTGATTTTGCAATCCCCGAGGGCTTCCTGCTGCTGTTTGTCAATGTGCATGCAGAACACCACTCCTTCGACCCCAGCCCTCTGATCCTGGCACCCTACCCCAACCCCGTTGCTGTGTCTTCCCTGACCTCATCTCTTTAGCCTCTGACCAGGGGCCTTTCTGTCTTCAGGGACTTGCTCATTCCTGCCTCTGAGCCTCGGTTCATGCCATTCCTCCCACATGGAATACCTCCCTGTCCCTGGGAATCCAGGGCTCTTGTCCACAAGCCATGAGAAGAATGTTCTGAGGGTCGACTGGCATGGCCCCTTCCCTCCCCATGTTCCCCCTCCCAGACACCAGTGGCTCTGCATGCTTGCAGAGGCTCCTGGCCACACGTCCTGCAAGCATTTGCTTTTATCCCCTTGAGAGTTTGAGCCTGCCGTGAAAGTTTGTTCATGGCTTTTCTGTTTCTGTTTGCATCAATTCCATTTGCCCGAGGACTGTGAGCTCTCTGAGGGCAGAGCTTGGTTTCTGATCCTGTTATAGTCTCCCATCTTGCAGATAACGCAGGATTGAATCCTAGACTGCCCGAGGGTGTGAGCCTTCCATAAATCCTGCCTGTGTGGCCTTGGGCAAGCCACTTCCTCTCCCTGGATCTCAGTTTCCTTATCTGTTAAATGGTAATAATAACGCCTACTTCTTGAGAATGTGTTGTGGATCTAATGAGGTAATGGACCGAATGCGCTTTGCAAGCATAAAACGCTCCACTAGTTCCGGCTGGCTTTGCTGTCATTATCATGATGAATGTGTCCCCCCGGCTGCTCCGCCAGATCCCCTAACCTTGGCTGCTCTTGTCTGCCCCCTGCAGGCCGGTGCCCCGCGGGTGAGCTGGAGACTTCGGACCTGGTGACGGTGGTGCTAGGCCAGGATGCAAACCTCCCCTGCATCTACAGAGGGGACCCGGGCGAGCAGGTGGCGCAGGTGGAGTGGGCTCGGGTGGACGCGAACGAGGGAACGGGGGAGCTGGCGCTGCTGCACTCCAAGTACGGGCTACACGTGAGCTCGGCCTACGAGGGGCGCGTGGAACAACCGCCACCCCCTCGGGACCCGCTGGACGGCTCGGTGCTCCTGCGCAACGCTGTGCAAGCGGATGAGGGCGAGTACGAGTGTCGCGTGAGCACCTTCCCTGCTGGCAGCTTCCAGGCGCGACTGCGGCTGCGCGTGCTGGGTAAGTCGGGCGGCTGGGCATGGCCCAGGCTGCTGCGCCAGGGGCCCAGGCTAGGTCAAGGAAGGGAGAAGCAGAAGGCAAGGGGGGCAGAGACGAGGACTGCCGAGATAGATGAGGCAGGGGCAAAACAGGAGCAAAAGGTGGGGTCCAGTAGGCCACAGGGAGGACCACGCAACACATCCTCCCACCCAGTCCAAAAGTTCTCTCAACTGACCCTCGCAGCTGGGGAGGAATCCACCTACTAGGAAGTTCTTCCTGTTGATGACCTGAAATCTCCCTCCGTGTTACTTTTGCCCGCTGGAGAAATCTTGCACGGGCCTTTGAAGGAGTTGAGGACCTTTGTCATATTCCATCCGAATCTACTCTTCTCCAAACTACGTGGATTGTCTCCTGCCACATTTCCACTATAGGCGCTGATTCAAACGCTCTTTTGCCATCCTGGATTCCACAGCTGTAAAATGTGGGGTGCAGATGTGGACATGAGTCCCATCTGTCTGGGACCACACGTGACCAGCAGGGCTAATATGTTCCTTAATCGGGACCTTCAGAGAATGTAGTCTGAGATCTCAGCCACCTTTTAAGCAGCTCTTTATCGCTGTGAGCACCTGTGGCCCACCTGAACTTAGGGTTAAGTGAAGTCTTTTTCATTCCGTGTTCTGGCTATTAATATTTTGAAGCTAAAATTAAAGGCCTGTATAGATTCCTTTTATCCTCAGGGAAATTGGAGTAGAAAAACCTGAGGTGACACTAGGCTTTGTCACCTATGAGCTGATGACCTGGAGCCAGTCATCTTCACCTCCCTGAGCTTTCATTTCCTCACCTGAAACAGCGATAATAATGCCTACCTCACTGGTTGGTTGACAGAATTAAATGAGATAACGTTTGTAAAGTGTTTAACATAATAGCTGGAACATAGTAAGTGCTTAGTAAAAGGTGCTATTATTATTATATAGATACTATCTAGTTTTCTAATTGCTTTATTTTTATTTTTTTAAAAATGACCCACGCTCATTGTAAAAAAATTCAAATAATGGGGAGAAATGCAAAGTCACCTGGAATTCTACCACTTACCTGATATCTTTGTTGGTGAAATAAGAGAAAGAAAAGAGGGCCTACAATTTTGCGAGACTAGAATGAAGGGGAGTTTCCTATCAGGGGTTCTGCATATCTCTGACCTCTGTGCCCCCATTTGCAGTGCCTCCCCTGCCCACACTGAACCCTGGCCCACCACTGGAAGAGGGCCAGGGTCTGACATTGGCCGCCTCCTGCACAGCTGAGGGCAGCCCAGCCCCCAGTGTGACTTGGGACACAGAGGTCAAAGGCACAACATCCAAACGCACCTTCAAGCACTCCCGCTCCGCGGCTGTCACATCAGAGTTCCACCTGGTACCCAGTCGCAGCATGAACGGGCAGCCACTTACCTGTGTGGTGTCCCACCCTGGCCTGCTCCAGGACCAAAGGATCACCCACACCCTTCAAGTGGCCTGTGAGTACTTAGATGCTTGGGTAGGGGGTCCCATGGGTTCCCAATGAATTGGAGAGACACTGTGAGGCCCTGTGCCATGCCAAATTGGCCAGCTGGTGTCTGTAGGCTACATGTATGAGAGTGATTGCCCAAATGTATAGAACCTGAAGCCCAATCCCTGGGGATTTTGGCAAACTCCTCAGTCCTCCCTGAGGTCAGAGTCCTTCTCTTTTCTTGTTGCTGTACTGGGGATTGAACCAGGGCCTTTGCACTAAGCTACATACCCAGTCCCTTTTTATTTTTTTATTTAGAGACAAAGTCTTGTTAAGTCACTTAGTTGCTCACATAGCGCTCACACTTGCTATCCTCCTGCCTCAGCCTCACAGAGCGCTGGGATTACAATCCTGTGCCACCATGCCCGGCCACTATTCCTATTTTTGCAGAGGAGATTGCCTTGCTTCACAGTGTTGTTGGGAGAATCAAATATAAATATAGAATTAAAAACACTTTGCAAAAGATACAGTTTAGGATTTGGAGACAGACTTGGGACAAGTCCTCATTCTGCTATTTACCAGCTGTTATTTAATCCTGTTAGGCTTCATTTTCTTCATCAGCAAAATGAGAGTAATTATGGCAAGTTTACAGCGTTTTGATGGGAATTTGCCACCAAGAATGCAAAATATCTCATGCACTGCTCAAAGCATAGGAGGCACTCAGGAAATGGTAGACCTGTGTTTCCAGCATTAGACTTCAAACTTCTGGGGAATAAGAGCATTTTTCAGCTCATACTACTCTTTCATTGAGCACAAAGTAGGTCTTCAACATGTGTTTATTAAGGGGATGAATGAACAAACCAGCTGTGGTGGTACAGCCCTGTAAATCCCAGCACTATGGGAAGCTGAGGCAGGAAGAGTTCAAATTAGAGCCCAGCCTGGGCAATTTAGTAAGACCTTGCTTTTTTTTTTTTTTTTTTTTTTTTTTTCTGAGACAGGGTTTCTATATAGCCCAGGCTGGCCTAGAACTGACAGTGATCCTCCTGCTTCAGCCTCCCAAGTGCTGTAATTATGTAGGTGTGCACCAGCATGCCCAGCACAAGACATGGTCTTAAAAAAAACCCAGAAAGACTGAGGATGCACGTCAGTGGGAAGACCCTGGATTCAATCCCTAGTGTGGAGGGGTGGGGGTAAATGAACTAGCAGTGTTGTAGGCCTTCAAAGGATCTGGCAGTGTTGATGGAGCACCTGTTTTGTGACTAGCGCTGTGCTAGGCACCACAGGACATCCAAAGTGTGGCATGGGACTTCTGGGCTTGTGGCGCAAATAACCAATACAGACTGAGCTGGGAAAGGGGAGGGATCTATGTGGCCAGAAGCCATCAGAAAGGTTCGGCCCAACTAGGTTTGGCAGCAGCTGAGTGGGCTGAGAAGGGCAGCGGGAGGTGACTCCATGCAGGGTGGGATGTGGGGTGGGCGCCCTTCAAGGAACCCCACGGTTAAGGGCCTTTTCTTATTCTTTCTCCTCCCTCCTCCCATTGCAGTCCTGGCTGAGGCCTCTGTGCGTGGCCTGGAGGACCAAAAGCTGTGGCATGTTGGCAGAGAGGGTGCTATGCTCAAGTGCCTGAGTGAGGGGCAGCCACCTCCCTCATACAACTGGACACGGTAAGGGCCTGGGCCTGGGGAAGGTCTAGCTTGGGACAAGGGTCCTTCAGTCTCAGAGGTAGGATGTGCTCCTTTGGGCTGGGACCATATATTCTGAACGCTAGATAAGTCAGGGTATGTGTTCCTACCAATGCAAGAATATGCATGGTGGAGCATGCTTCTAATTCCAGCACTCTGGGAAGCTGAGGCAGGAGGATCACAAGTTCACGCCCAGTCTGGGCAACTTAGCAACTTAGTGAGACTCTGTCTCAAAATGAAAAATTTAACAGAGGACTGGAGATGTAGCTCAGTGCCAAGGCGCTGGGTTCAATCCCGTGCCACCAAAAGTGAAATATAACACAATATTAAATATTAACATTGTATAGATGTGTAAAATGAGTGTATAAATGAATGAGACAGAAAGCCAGCTGTCTGTAACTGTTGTTACACCAGCACTCCTGTAACCACAAGGCTGCCAGGACCTCAAAAACAGCCACTCACCTCTGCCAGTTACCTTAAGAGTCCTTGGCTTTTTTCCAGGACCTGAGATGTCTGGAGAATCAGGAAGGGTTGGGTGCACATGTATGTGAGCCCATGCTAAGCATGTTTTCGTGTGTGGACGTATGAGCAATGCATGTGGCCTTCTGCCTGGGGCTAGGTTTGGGTTAACCTGCCTCGGGCCATCACCGCTGTTGGAGCACACAGCCACATTTTCCAAGAACCTCTGAGCTCAGCTAGGAGTAGAGTGTCCTGTTGTGGGGACCTGGTACCCGGTGCCAATGACGTGATGCTGTGGGAGCGTGTGGGATGGCACGCGTGCGGATCTTCCCCGAGTATGTGTGTGGGGTGCCCGGGTCAGGCTGGGCAGCTGGGAGAAGGGGCCCCTGCCTAGACCTGCCTAGGGGAGGGCGGGACACCGTGGGAACAGCCGGCGGCTGTGGGTGACGTCATGGGCGAGAGGGGTGGAGGGCTGCCTGGGCACGTTGGGTGGTGGCAGCTTGGCCCGCGCCAGCCGGCACCCTTCAGCTTCCCTGTCCTCCAGGCTGGACGGGCCTCTGCCCACCGGGGCACGAGTGGAAGGGGGCATGCTGGGCTTTCCTCCGCTGACCGCTGAGCACAGCGGCACCTACGTCTGCCATGTCAGCAATGAGCTTTCATCAAGGGATTTCCCAGTCACAGTGGCTGTTCTTGGTAAGCACGGGGTGGGGAGCGGGCGAGCATGCGCCAGGTCTGGGGAGGGGGCAACAGAAAACAAGACAGAGTGGGAACTGGGCAAGTGTTTGTTTGCTGGAGGCGGGATGGCGGTGTGTTTTGTGAGGGCAAGCCAGGTGGGTGGTGGTGGGTGTGCTGTGCGAGATGGTGGGGGTGGGCGGGGCAGGGATCTGCGCAGACACCTCAGACACTGGCCTGTCTGCAGCAGACCCTGAGGACCCAGGGAAGCAGGTGGACCTGGTGTCAGCCTCGGTGGTGGTGGTGGGTGTGATCGCCGCGCTCCTGTTTTGCCTCCTGGTGGTGGTGGTGGTGCTCATGTCCAGATACCACCGGCGCAAGGCCCAGCAGATGACCCAGAAGTAGTGAGTACTGGCTGCTTCTGTGTGGACGGGGCTGAGCTGGGAACATAAGAAGGGCAAGGTGGGCCAGGTGGAAGAGGGAGAGGAGACAGGAGAGAAGGGTGACCTGACAATGGGGAGCTTACGGACCAGAGGTGGGCAGAGTTCTGCTGGGAGGTGAGAGGGGCTTGGGGCCTAGACCAAAGCTGATGAGGGGAACTGCACAGCCTGAGTGAAGATCAGACCCCTATGCCTGGTACCACAGCTACACACACACACGTAAACACACATTGCCACTTCCAGGGCTAGCAGGGCACCCACACCCTCCCAGCCCTGTTTTACATAGGCTCGGCCAGGCTAGGCTCACCTTGGGAGGCTACCGCTGCCCTCAGTTGACAGGGAGTGTCTTTCCCAGTGAGGAGGAGTTGACCCTGACCAGGGAGAACTCTATCCGCAGGCTGCATTCCCATCCGTCAGACCCCAGGAACCAGGTTTGTATCAAGGCTGGGTGCCGGCGTGGTATGTGGCTGTGTGTGTGGTTGCTTGTGCCTGGACCCCTCTGTCAACTGACTGGGAGCACAGCCCTCCCCCAGGGCTGGCTGAGACTGGGCTGGGGTCAGGTGCGGAGTTATAGTGCTTGGGGTCTGCTAGGACCCCGCGCTCCCTTCAGCACTGGCCTGGGGGCTGCTCTGGGAATCTGCTACCATCCGCCTGGTTCTAGGGTGGGTTTGGGGTGCAGCGGGGGAGCGAGGATATGCGTGTCAGGGAGAGGATGGACCTGTGGGTAGGGGGAGCGGTGATTGGGGAGGAGGTTGGTGGCAGTAGAGGGGTGAAGAGGCTGTAGGGAGGAGCCTGAGCTCTGTTCCAACTCCTCCCGCATGTCCGGGCCCTGCAGCCGGAGGAGAGTGTAGGGCTGAGAGCCGAGGGCCACCCTGATAGTCTCAAGGACAACAGTAGCTGCTCTGTGATGGTGAGGCCCCCCGGCCCCACCGGTGTCCCCACCACTCTCCTCAGGCCCCTCTCCTGGCCCCAGATGTGGTGCGTCAGCAGCCCCCTTACCAGCCCCTCGCGCCTCAGCCCTGGCTCCGTGCCCAACCCCGCATCTCTGCTCTGCTTCCTGCTCCACCTCCCTCCCCTGTGCCTTGGTCCAGGCCCATGATCTCTGAGCCCCTGTGCTGCTGGGACAACCCTTACCCCGCTTCGCCTGACCTCTGACCCTACCGTACCCCCAGCCATATCCCACCATCTGGCTGGTGGCCTCCGTTTCCTGAGTTGTCCTCTGCTCTTGGTCTCTAGAGTGAAGAGCCTGAGGGCCGCAGTTATTCCACGCTGACCACAGTGAGGGAGATCGAAACGCAGACAGAACTGCTGTCTCCGGGATCTGGGCGGGCAGAGGAAGAGGAAGACCGAGATGAAGGCATCAAACAGGCCATGAACCATTTTGTTCAAGAGAATGGGACCCTACGGGCCAAGCCCACGGGCAATGGCATCTACATCAATGGGCGGGGGCACCTGGTCTGACCCAGGGCTGCCTCCTCCCCTAGGCCTGGCTCCTGCTGACACAGGGAATTCCACTCATCTTGGGGGGCCTCTTAAAATGCCCGTATTTCTTGAGGAAGATGCTCCCCACCCCACTGACTGCTTGACCTTTTCCTCCAACCCTTCTGTTCATGGGGAGGGCTCTGACAGTTCAGTCCCTCCCACCATAAGTACAGGTCACTGTGTGTGTGTATGTGTGCGTGTATTTTTGCTTGTGTGTTCACTGATCATGTGTGCATGTATAGAGGAGTGACTCCCTTTTTTTTCTTTGGTACCGGGAATCGAACTCAGGGCCTCACGCTTGCTAGGTGGGTGCTGTACCACTGAGCTGCATCCCTGGCCCAGGAGTGACTTCTACCGTACGTGTTCCACTGCACTGGCTTGTCAGTCACTGTAAGAGTGAATGGTGGTGTGTGTCCCGAGATTCTGGTGATTGTGAGGGGAAGGCTGCCAGAGTTCAGTTTGTGTGTTGTGTGGCTGCGTGTGACCTCTGCCTGCACAAGCAGGTATTTTCCTCAGACCCCAGAGCAGTATTAATGATGCAGAGGTTGGAGGTGAGAGGTGGAGACTGTGGGCCACATCCAGGTGTGCGGGCATAGCTGGAGCTGGAATTTGGCCTTCTAAGTGGGGGAGCCGGGTTCCTACCACTTGAGAGCCACTGGGCAAGTGTGAAGCCGCCACCCAGGGGTCTGCCAGAGGCTTAAACTGTTACGAAGAAGCCCTCTGCCCTCTGGTGGCCTGTGGGCCTGCTACATGTACATATTTGGTGTAAAAAAACCTTCCTGGGGAGCTTGCAGAGGACTGCTCCGACTCCTTTAATAAGAGCAACACCTTGTAAAACCTTTTACTTCATCTGCATGTTTGTTCCTGGGCTTGCTTAAGCAAGGGCAGTCTACATAGGCACTCAGCAGGGCTGGACCTCACTCAGACCCCTGCTCCAGCTCAAGGTTGACCCCTGTGGCACTAAGAGGTGCTCCTAAGGCATCTGCATCTAGGCAGGCCCTTGGGAGGAGCCTGACAGCTGTTGGGCCCTGGGACTAGGGGTGTGAGTGCTGTGGCTACCGGCTGAGGGAGGACAGGAGAGGTCCTTCACTGCAGAGCCCTCAACTCTTCCCCTAGACTCATCTCTCTCTCTCTCTCTTTTTAGTTGTACCCACGGTTGCTTGTGGTCCCCGCAGGAGTTGCTGGGACTTGGTGACAAGTGTTCCTGGTTCAGTGGGGGTGTAGGGAAGAGAGGGCACTGATTATACAGCAAGGAGGGGGGCATTTCAGACGAGAGGAAGGAGGTGCTGGAGGTGTCCCTTTCTCAGAGGGTTCTGGGTCCTTGATTCAGGGCTTTTCTGGCAGTTTCTTTGGATGGAAGCAGGGGTTAGAAGTTTACTTTTATTTGGCCCACCCAAACATACTCAGCCAGAATACTGAGATTTAATGCCCAAGCCCTGCATGGCCTGAAATCTGCTGGATTTCTGGACTAAAGGGGGAGCTCTCGTCTCCCATTTTCGGGCCAGCTTGGGACTTTGAATGGGAAACCCAAAGATCTGAGATCCCAGTATGTACATTGTGTGTAAATATGTGCATATTTGTATATAAAATGATATTCTGTTTTTAAATAAACAGATAAAACCTGGTCTACCTGGTTCCTGTCTTGCCCCTTTTGCCGTATAAGCCCGGAGTGCCCTGTTCTGTGTGAGCCCCAAGCGGAGTAGAGGCCAGGGTGCCTGGAGCTGGGAGGGAAAGGGCAAAGAATTGTTTTCCACAGGCTACGGACCAGTGTCTTGCTGTGCAGATGCTTTAAATCTTTTGTTGTACTGACAACTTATAATAGCTGTGTGAAGTAGACAGCAGTGTGCTCATTTTACAGATAAAGAAACTGAAACTCAAATTAGTTCCAGATCGTCAGAGCTGGGAGGATTCAAAGATCATTTGGTCTGATTCTTCATTGGCTTTTGTGTGGAAACCGAGGCTCCCTGAAGTACTGTGGCTTGACCGAGGTGATAGGCATATCCGAGGCAGAGCCCCAGCATTCTCCCTCCTGGCTGAGGCTCCCACAGCCCTGCGCCCTGCTCCCAGGCAAACCTCAGGTCTCCACTCAGACCTGAGAACTGTGGTCTCTAGAGATGTCAGTCACCTGCTCTTGCCCCAGGAGCCATCACTCCACCCAGGACTCAGACATCACCTCCCCTTGACCAATGGCTGAGGCCCCAGCAATGGGTGAGGATGTGTGTCAGCTACCTCCCCCACCCCGGGCCCTGTGGTTACAAAGATGCTCTAACAGGAAGCGGGTTTGAGGAGCTGCACAGCTTCCTGCTCCCCTAGAGCTGCGCAGGGGCAGAAGGCAAGTGCCTGGCTGGGCCACGAGACAAGTTTTGTACTAGGGTCCTGGCAGCTTCCTCTTCCACAGCCACTTCCGTGTGGCTGGGGCCCCAGAGGCAGGAGCTTCTTGTTGCCCAGGCCACCCCCACCCCCAGTTCGGAGCCCTGCCCTCTGGGTCCAGGCCAGGCCCAGTGGCCTGTGGGGATCCCATGAGGGACCGGTAGGGCAAAGGTCTTGGGGGACAGAGGTGGTTGGACCTGAGCTCTGGGGCTCCGGCCATGAAGTCTCGGCAGAAAGGAAAGAAGAAGGGCAGTTCGAAGGAGCGGGTGTTTGGGTGCGACCTGCAGGAGCACCTGCAGCAGTCAGGCCAGGAGGGTAAGGAGGCCACCTCAGGGCGGGTGGGTTAGGTGGGCAGCCACCAAGCTTCTCCAGCTCCGTCTGGTCTGAGGGACAGAAGCAGCTTCTAGGTGCTCCTGGGGAAAGGGCAGTAGCCAAGTCACTACCCGTGAGACCCGTGAGCAGGCCCAACAGGAAATGTGACCCAGAAGACGGCGAGTGGCTCCCTGTGACTTTCTGGGGATGGGATGGTCGAGGCAGTTGGAAGGTAAACCCCAGGAGGGCAGTGTCGGGAGCAGGTGGGGAGTGGGCAGAGGGATGAGGGACAGGACAGGGGGGCTAAGGTGACAGGGTCAGGAAAGGAGGGGCGGAGGGGCCAGTGGGTGGTGCTGGGTTTGAATAAAAAGCTACCGGAGAAGCCTCCGGCCCTAACTACAGGAGCCTGAGGGTGGTACTTGGGGAGGGAGCAGCATTGTAGCTGGAGAAGCACCCAGGCACTAGGATCTGCCTCTCTGCACCTTGAAGGGCCGCAGGAGGGTGTGGGACAGCGATGGCCTCTTTCTTTGGTTTCTGTGATTCCCTGACTCTCCATGGGAAGGAGAGACAGGTGCACGGTGGATGGCGAGGGGAGAAGCTCTTGAACAGCACTGGGAGATGAAAGCGATGGCTTCAGGCCTGGTTGGAAGCTGCAAAAGAGGATGGGTGAGGGCCCTAGATGTGGGGTCACCTGGCTCCCTCCCTCCATTACCTTGGAGAAGGCTTGGAAGTCGGCAGGACCAGGGCTCACTCGGCTTCCCCACAGTGTTGGGAACGGAGCAGTCACTCAAAACTGTTCCTTCATTTGATTTGAAATGGAACCTGTGTACCAGCCCAGCCCAGCTTGTTTTCGGCATTTTGAGCTCCTTACAGAGGAAGGGCACGATTCTACTCCCCAGTCCACCCCACCCCAATCTGTCATTTCCTCTTTATCCCCTTCTCTGTGTGGTGCCTGCAGTAGCGGGAGGGTGATGGTGGTTCCCATCTCATTTCCTGCTCTTAGTCCCACCCTTTTGTCCCCAGGCACCTCCTTCCCTTTTCTCCGCCCCATCCCTACTGGCCTAGGGCTGCAAAGGGAGCCCCCTCCAAGGTGAACAGCTGAGGCAGGAGACTTCCTCTTATCCTGGGGCGGGCAGAGCAAACACAGCACAGCCGTTGAGCAGGGCTTACCCCTGAACAACGATTTCTCTCTAGAGTGAGGTTTCTTGGCTGAGGACCTCATGATTTCATTGGCGGTGATGTTCCCTCAGCTCTCTGAAAACTTAGTTCAGCCTCCTCATGCCGGCACTACCCTTTCCTGTGGTTGTAATGCCAACCCAGCCTTGAAGCTGAGGCTACAGACAGCCCCAATCCCACTGCAGTAACCCTCCTGGCCTCCACCGACCTTCCCAGCCAGTGAAGGGCGCAGTGAAGGGTGGGCTGCTGGGAGGGCATACCCCTCTGGTTGCTGGATCCTGACCCCAGGTGAATCCCAGAGCAGGCGAAAAGCACCTGCTGCCTATCGCCAGAACCTCACCTGAGCCCAAGGGTGGAGAGATGGATCTTGGGTACCAGAGTGGCAGTGGTAGCCCCTCTCCTTCCCCCAGTTATTCCTGGTACGGAGAGGTAGAAAGCAGAAAGACAAAGGGTGGCTGGTGATACCTTCTCTCTGTAAGCCGAGACCCACTAAGAAATGAAATGAAAGCCCAGGCTTTGTCGTGAACTGAGCTTCCCTTGCAGTCTTGACTTCCCCACTCCTCACAGGCTGGCTCCATCTCCCCTAGCTCTTTGCCCCAGTGGCTTTTTCTTCCCCAAGTCCTATCTGCACTGAGCTTATCCTTTTCCTAATTTTATCTCTTTGATACCTTGCTCGGACTTCACATCCGCCAGATCCTCAAGTCTCGGGTCTGCCTCCTGACCCCACTCCCGTGTCCTTCCCATCTCCCTCCCTTGGCCTCCGTTACTCTGGCTTGCCTCTGACTTGCGTCTGACTTCACCTCTGACGTCTATCTCCCCAACGCCCCCATCTCTCTAACCTGTTATCTCTTCTCGCATCTCTTGACCCATTTCCTCTCTGGTTCTGACTCCTGATGCTCTTGCAGTGCTCTTTAAGGGCCTTCTCTGCAGGTTCAAAATCAACTGAGGACAGGATGGGGAAGACCTGGTTTGCGTGATGCTCCTGTGCCAAGGACCTGGGGGTTTATCAGAGGTATCAGAGTTATCAGGTAACGCAATGGCCCAAAGAGCTGGTGGCTCATCAGGCACCCAAGGGAGTACACAGCTCCAACAGGGAGGGGCTCCTCTGCTCTGCTTTCAGCACTGAGAACCTGTGCAGGGCAGCCTGGCAAGTGGGAGCAGGTCCTGAGGGCACGCACGGTGGATGAAATGTTGTGAGGCTGAGGCAAGAGAGGTGATGATGATGCAATTTTAAAATTTGAGACAAGGTCTCACTATGTAGTTCATGCTGGGAACTCACTGTGTAGCCCAGGTTGGCTTTAAACTTTCAGGGATCCTCCTGCATCAGCCTCCAGAGTGCTGAGATTACAGGTGTGAGCCACCAAGCCTGGCTGAGGGTGTAATATTTGAGGAAATAGTCTTTCAGGGTCAGCCGGTGCTAGGGGGCTTTTTCCCCCATCCCCCAGTCCTTTTTAATTTTATGACAGTTGCATAGGTGAGGCTCAAACTTGTGGTTCTCCCACCTCAACCTCTCAGAGTGCTGGGATTACAGATGTGCATAACCACACCTGACTAGGTAGCTCATTCTTGTTTGTTTGTTTGCTTGTTCGTTTTAGACAGTCTTGCTATGTACTTCAGGCTGGCCTTGATCTCCCAATGTAGCCCAGGATGGCCTCAATCTCGTGGTAATCCTCTTGCCTCAGCCTCCCGAGTGCTAGGATTATAGGCCTAAGCCCCCATGCCTGGCTGTGGTAGGCGGCTCATTCTTAAACATGGTCTCACTCTCAGGACCATGCATGCACACTACTGGCACTTTCACAGTCCTGAGAGTGAGGATTTCGTCCGTCTGTCCGTCCGTCCATCCGTCCCTCCCTCCCTCTGTTCCTTCCTTCCTTCCCTCCTTCCTTCCTTCCTTCCCTCCTTCCTTCCCTTCATTCTTTAACTTTTGCACTCTAGATGCCTACTTTGTCTCACCCAAGTCCTAGCTGAGGAGGGCAGAAGGGTAAAGGTTTTGAAAAACAGGTCAGATGAGGAGAGCCGAAAGATATTGACTGAAGGATTCATTGACCGTTTCCTTCATTCTATATTTTTATATTTGCTCCACGAAGAACTTGGTGTGACTTCCGCAACCCTGCACTACCAACACGCAGAATAAAGGAGTGGAGGAGTTGGGGTGAAGGGAAAGCAGGAAGGTCAGCCCCAGAAACATGTCAGGTGGTTCCATCTGGTTCCTCCAGGTGGGCTTTGAGCTTCTTAGTGGTTACAGAGGTAAACATAATCATACAAGACTTGTAAGGTCCATAAAAGAAAGAACAGGTAGATGAGGAGAAACACTGACATCATAGAGGGATTTCTCTGGTGAGTTGCTGTTAAAAATCCAATATTTTGTTTTGTTTTGTTGTTTTTTGCTTTTTTATTTTTTTATTTTATTTTTGTTTTTTGCTTTTTGAGACAGGTCCATGCTATGTAGCTCAGGCTGGCCTCAAACTCATGATGATCCTGTATCATCCTCCTGAGTGCTGGGGAAAGGGTCCAATATTTTGTCATAAGGAATATTCTTTATGAGGGGCTGGGGATTTAGCTCAGCGGCACAGTGCCTGGCAAGTGCAAGGTCGTGAGTTTAATTCCCAGTACTGGAAAAAAAAAAAAAAAAAAAAAAAAAAAAGGAATATTCTTTATGAAATCTCCAGGGGAATGCCAGGTGTGGTGGTGCACGCCTGTAATCCCAGCATTCGGGAGGCTGAAGCAGGAGGATTGTTGCAAGTTCGAGACCAACCTGGGCTACAAAGTGAGCTCAAGGCCAGCCTGAACTGCATAGCGAGACCCTGTTTCAAAAAGATGCACACACACACACACACACAGACAAAAAAAAAAAATTTAGCCTTGAAATCTCCAAGGGATGTCAGCGATTCTTACAGTAGATTCTTAATCTGCTGAGTTTTTTAGCAAACATATGTGGAACACCATATCTGTGCTAGATGCTGGCAGAATGTTACAGTTGTTGGGAGGTATAGATATAAACAAAACAAAACAAAATAAAACAACAACAAAAAAAACTAATGCTGCGCCGGGTGTGGTGGCACACGCCTGTAATCCCAGTACTTGGGAGATTGAGGCAGGAGGATCATTGTGAGTTCAAGACCAGCCTGGGCTACAAAGTGAGCTCAAGGCCAGCCTGAACTGCATAGCAAGACCCTGTCTCAAAAAGACCAAAAAAAAAACCAAAAACAAAACAAACAAAAAATCAAAAAACAAAAAAACCAAAACTAATGCTAATGAAGTGCAACAAGTACTGTAATACAGATACAAAAAGAACAGTGGGGGGGCTGGGGATTTAGCTCAGCGGCAAAGCACCTGCCTGGCAAGGGCAAGGTCGTGAGTTTGGTTCCCGGTACCAGAGAAAAACCAAAAAAAAAAAAAAAAAAAAAAAAAAAAAAAAAAAAGAACAGTGGGATCTAAAATACAGATATAAGCAAAAGACTCAGAATTGGAGGCTACTTATTTATTTATTTTGTACTAGGGACTTAAGTCAGGTCCTTGAGCCTGGTACATAGGAACTCTACCCAGGAGCTACATCCCTGTTCCCTGAGGATATGATGTTTTGTGGTGCTAAAGATCAAACCCAGAGCCTCATGCTTCTAGGCAAGTACTCTATCACTGAGCTACATGCCCCGCTCTATTTTGTTTTTTTGGTGTTTTGTTTTGAGACAGGGTCTCACTCTGCAGTTCAGGATGGCCTTGAAATTACTATGTAACCCAGGCTGGCCTTGAACTCAGGGATCCTCTTGCCTCAGCTTCTCAAGTGCTAGGATTACAGGCATGTGCCACCACATCCAGCTCTATTTGTTTTTCTGACAGTCTTGTTCTGTTGCCCAGGCTCACTCTGAACTCTGGGTTCAAGTGATCATCCTGCCCCAGCCTCCTCCATAATCGAGACTACAGGCAATGTGTCACTGTGCCACTAGGAGATGATGTTTGAGGCATGTGTTGAGGCTTGTAGAAGAGTTCACCAGTCAGAGGGGAGGATATTTCCAGGCAAGAGAATAACATGAGTGTCTTAGTCTGTTCTGTGTTGTTGTAACAGAATACCTGGACCATGGTAATTCATAAAGAGATTTATTTGGCTCCTAGTTCTGGTGGCTGGAAGGATCCTGAAGTATTGTGGCAAGGGTCACCTGGTGGTGTCACAGTAGGACAGAGAAGTAGAAAAGGAACTAGCTGCAGGCAGCAGGAACCAAATGTCTGGGGTGCCCTTGCTTATAACAACTCCTTCCCATGAGAACTACGCAGTCACACAAGACTCAATCCACTCCCAGGAAACAGTGCCACCTGCTTGTGGGGTGGATTCCCGATCTAATTGTCATTCGCCAGGCAGCACCTCTGAAGTGTGCCACCACCTCAGCATCGCCACACTGGGGATGGAGTTTCTAGCACATCAGTCTCTGAGGGTCAGATCACACTCACACCGTGGTGATGAGTGATGGTAGCAAGGTTTGTTCATGGACTCGCCAAAGGCTGGTCACAGGGTTTGTTGGGGAAGTGGCTGGAGGTGAGAATGGAATGATGGTTGCACCTGGCTTGTGAAGGGTCTTATGTACCCAGCTGGGGTTTAGACTTCGTGCTCTATCGATAAGGTAAGCAACAAGTATTTAGCTGAGGTGAGGCTGGGTGCACTTCAGCAAAAGATTTAAAACAAGGAAGAGCTTGGGACAGAACGATGTGGCCTTATGAAGTAGGGATTCAACACATGGTTTCCAAGGACCTGTCATGTCCAGTTGTCATGGTGTCCACCTGACATCAAGTCAGAAAATATGTGGAATACAAAGACACTTAAATCTTAGTCCTGAAGAACTGGGCATGGTGGCACAGTTCTGTAATCCTAGCTCTCAGGAGGCTGAGGCAGGAGCATTGTAAGTCCCAGGGCTAGCCTGGGCTGCATAGTGAGGTCAAAAGCAGCCTTACTACACAGTGAGACCCTGTCTCAAAAACAACAACAACAAAACAACCAAAATTTAAAAAAAAAAAAAAACACTCAAACAAACAAAAACCAAAAATCTTATCCTTAAGAACTTACAGTCTACTGACAGGAGAGAGAATACAGCTTTTTGCTGTGTTAGATTTGAGTCCTGGCTCTCGCAAGATGCTCCTGGGTACTGGTTATTTTTTGGATCTTCCATTTTCTTATCAGTGAAATGGGAAGTAGCAGATTTAATTTACAAAACTAAATGACATCACACACATGAGCAATTAGCACAGCGCCTGGCACAGGGGGCTTCCCCCCTTTGGATGTCAGACACTGTTTCATGTACTATCCTACAGTAGAACTAATAGCCATGAGCTTTCTTACCAGAGGGAGTGCTGCAAAATAATCCCCATTAATAGCCAGGTGTGGTGGCACATGCCTGTACTCTCAGCAATTGGGAGGCTGAGGCAGGAGGATTGCTGCAAGTTCAGTGCCCTGGGCTCCAAAATGAGTTCAAGGCCAGCCTGAACTGCATAGTGAAACCCTGTCTCAAAAAGACATCAGCAGCAGCAGCAGCATCCCCATTAGGCTGGACATGGTGGTGCATGCATGTAGCCCCAGATACCAGGAAGGCTGAGGCAGGAGGATGACACAAGTCTAGGAGTTTAGGCTAGCCTTGAGGGGTTTATACCAAGGTTCTAGGGTTAGTGGGTAGAGATACTACAGAAAGGTTGGCAAGTTGGAGTGGGTGGCCTGTGACAATATTTCTGACAAGTTTGTTGTCTTGGGAATTTGATTTTTTGTTTGTTTTTAGTTTTTTTGAGACAGGATCTTGCTATGTAGACCAGAGTAGCCTCAAACTCGTGACCCTCCTGCCTCAGCCTCCTGAGCTCTGGGATTCCAGGCATGCACCACCATACCTGGTGTCTAAAAAGTCTTTATTCCATGAAGTTTGCCCTCAACATCCCCAGTCCTTTTCCCTGATGCTTCCATTTCTCAGATCCCTACAGACTTTCTGATTTCTCATTCTCTGCCTATCTGTGTCTCCAGTGCCCCAGGTGCTGAGGAGCTGTGCAGAGTTTGTGGAGGAACATGGCGTGGTGGATGGGATCTACCGCCTCTCAGGGGTTTCCTCCAACATCCAGAAGCTCCGGTGAGTCACACAGTGGTGCAGAAGAGCTCTGAGCCAGAAGACTGCAGTAAGAGGTGCTGGGGAAAGCAGAGAGAGGTGCTGTCTTAAGGAGGAGCTTGGATGAGGTGGAGACCAGGGGCAGAGGCCTTACACACACACACACACACACACACACACACACACACACACACACACACACTCTTTCTACTCCCACATATATCATTCCATATATACCCACTTATCTTTAAAAACAAATTTAGATAGGACTCATATACCATAAAATCCATCATTTAACAATGTATAATTCAAAGCCAGGTGCAATGGCACACGCCAGTAATCCTAGTGACTTGGGAGCCTGAGGCAAAAGGATCGAAAGTTTGAGGTCAACCTGGGCAATTTAGCAAGACCATATCTTAGAATAGAAAATAAAACAGACTGGTGATGTAGTTCAGTGGGTTCAATCACTGTACTGGATAAAAAAAAAAAAAAAAAAAGTGCAATTCAATAGTTTTTCGTATATTCACAACATTGTGCAACTATCATCGCTATCTACCTTCGAAACATTCCACCATCCCCAAAGAAACTCAGTACCCATCAGTGGTCACTTGACATTTCCTCTCCACCAAGTCCCTGGCAACCACTAACCTATTTTCTGTCTCTGGATTTGCCTAGTCTGAACATTTCATATAAATGGAGCTCTATGTGTTTATGTGGTTTGTATTTGTCTTCACTTAGAATGTTTGCAAGGGTCATGCATGTTGTAGCATGTACCAGTACTTCCTTTCTATGGATGAATAATACTCCATTGTACAGCTATATCGCGTTTTGTTTATTCAGTTGATGGCTACTTGGGTTGTTTTCACCTGTTGGCTGCTATGAATAATTCTGCTATAAACATGTATAAGTGTTTTTGTGGACATATATTTCTCAGTTCTTTTGAGTATATACCTAAAAGTGGAATTGCTGGGCCAAATGATAATTAACTATATGTCAATTTTTTTTTTTTTTTTTTTTTTTTTTTTTTGCAGTACTGGGGATCGAACTCATGACCTTGCACTTGCCAGGCAGGCGCTTATGCCACTGAGCTATATCCCTAGCCCTATGTCAAACTTTTAAAGTAACTTCCAAACTGTTTTTCATAGTTGCTGTGTCATTTTACCTTTTCACCAGAAATGTATAAGGTTCCAATTTCATCACATCCCTGGCAACATTTGTCACTGTATCTTTTTTATTATAGCCATCCTGGTGGGTGTGAACTGATATTTTATTGCAATTTATATTTATATTTCCCTAGTAACTAATGATGTTGAACATCCTTCCATATGTTTATTGGCCATTTATATTTCTTCTTTGGAGAAATGCTTATTCAAATCCTTTGTTCTTTATTCTTTTTTTTTTTTTCCTTCCCTTGGTACTGGGCATGGAGCCCAGGGCCTCCCATGTGCTAGTCAAGTGCTCCACTACTGAGTTATATCCTCAGCCCCACCCATTTTTAAATTAGGTTATTTGGGGTTTGTTTTGTTTTGTTGGATCATTGAGTTATAAGAAGAGGTCTTGCCAGTCGTGGTGGCACACGCCTGTAATCCCAGCACTCAGGAGGCTGAGGCAGGAGGATCATTGTGAGTTTGAGACCAGCCTGGGCTACAAAGTGAGCTCAAGGTCAGCCTGAACCACGTAGCGAGACCCTGTCTCAAAAAGACAAAAAAAAAAAAAAAAAAGAGGTCTTGATATATTCAAAATGCAATTATTTTCTCTCACTCTGTTGGTTTTCTTTTGGGCATGGTGCTGGGGATCAAATTATAGAGTTCACTTTGTTGTTTTTTGAGACAGGATTTCACTATGTAGTTCAGGCTGGCCGTGAACTCCCTTTGTATCACAAGGTGGCCCCAAACTTGTGGCAAACCTCTTGCCTCAGCCTCCTGAGTGCTGGGATTATGGGCGTACACCACCACATCTGGCTAGAGTTCACATTCTTGATAGTGTCTTTGACACATAAAAGTTTCAACTTTTGATGTTCAGCTATCTATTTTCTTTGGCTGCTTATGCTTTTGATGTTATATCTGAGCAACTGTTGGCTGATCCAACCAAGTTCATGAAGGTTTACATATGTTTCTTTCTAAAAGTTGCATCCATCCATCGTTCCACTTACCCTGAGGTACACATTTAGGTCTACTACCCACCTAATCCCTACATTGCTACTCACAGCTACAGTGACATCCCTGACATAATCCGTTCATGCGCTTACCTGTCTGCATCTATATCTCACGTCCACACCTACATGTCCACATACACGGTGCCACACAGGCTGCCTCATATGTACATACACATACCCCAAGATTCTCCTTCCTTGGGCCACATGTGTCAGCCTGTAAGCCCGTCTGGAACCATCTCCACAGCTCTGGAAACTTCTCCCCACTCTTCCCCTTCTCCCACCACTCCTGAGCACTCTGCACCTCCCCAGGCAGGAGTTTGAGACAGAGAGGAAGCCCGACCTGCGGCGGGACGTTTACCTGCAGGACATTCACTGCGTCTCCTCCCTGTGTAAGGCCTATTTCAGAGAACTGCCAGATCCCCTGCTCACTTACCGGCTCTACGACAAGTTTGCTGTGAGTTGAGGGTGGGGGTTAATGGTGGGAGACAAGGCTCAGAGGCGGCCACCTTGGTTTTGACAGGTGTGTCACAGACCAACCGCAGTCCTCATGATCCTGAATGACAGAGGCCACAGCAAAGGACTCTGGGGGAAAGATCCTTCCTCCCCAAGTCTCCTAGCCCTGCTCCCTCTGCCCTCCCCTAGGTCTGTCTTCCTTTCCTCCTCCCTGCACTGTGTCCTCCCCCTAAAGCCCTCAGGATGCACCCAGACTTTCCAGATAGAGGCTCTGTTGTCAGAGCTCAAAGGCCCTTGGGAAACACCTAAGAGAAAAATAACATTTTTTCGAAGTAAAACTTTTTCAGGGTTACCCTGCCATGAACTCTAATTGTATGTTAAACATCTTTTGAATGAGCAAACACATACCCAAATTGGCTTCCTGAATTGAGTAATACTTTGAATAAGTTGCACTTTATTGTGCAAGACATTGAGGGACCCTGGACAGCACTGGTGCTCGGTCCACATAGGATAGATTGGGCAGATGTTGGGCAACTGTGTAGTCGCTGATGTCCCAGGGCCAGAGCTTTACCAGTGAGGACGATGAGGCAGTGAGTGGTAGTGAGTCACTCAAGGTCACAAAACTATTAAGCAGCAGCATCAAGGTTCAGCTACTATCTTCTGTGAAATCTGATCAGGGTGGGAGCAGTGTGACATGCAGCAGATGTGTCCTCAGGGCTTGGCGTACTGGGTCACCAACTCCTGCTTCTTACACCCTTCTCCCCATCAGGAGGCTGTTGCTGTACAACTAGAGCCTGAGCGCTTGGTCAAGATTCTAGAGGTGCTTCAAGAACTCCCTGTCCCCAACTACAGGTGTGTGAGGCTCCCTCCCTGCACCCCAGTGGGTGGGATTCCTCCCCTCTAGCCCAGTCTTTCTACCCACTGAAGTCTTGGCTCTTCCCCCTCGGCTCCCAAGCCTGGCCGGGTGTCCCCTGTGTGATCCCTGCTCTACTTTCCACAGGACCCTGGAGTTTCTCATGCGACACTTGGTGCACATGGCCTCATTCAGTGCCCAGACCAACATGCACGCCCGCAACCTGGCCATCGTATGGGCCCCCAACCTGCTGAGGTGGGTGTGTGTAGAGGCGGTGTTCAGGGATCCCAGGAGACATTAACTTCTGGGAGGCTGTTCCGGGATGGGGGTGTGGCTATGTGGGTTCACTGCAGAATGGGGTGGGATCTCATGAATGAGTTCAGTGGGACGGGGCTCACCCACTCCAGCCCCTTATTTCTTTTTTTCATGCTGGGAATCAAACTCTCGACCTCGCACTTGCCAGGCAGGCACTGTGCCATTGAGCTATCTCCCCAGCCCTCGAGCCCCTTTTCTGAGATCATGTGAAGTCCGTAAGAGGAAAGCCTTTGTTTTTTCCTACACTGTACCACTGAGCACTAAGACAGGAACTTGAGAGGTCCTTGCCTAATGTTTGTGGGGCAAATGTCATTCAGTCTGTTAGAGAGCTGGCCCGCATAGCCCTCATGTTGGAACAAGGCGAGGTGAAATGCCTCACTTCTCATAGTCTGTCTTGTACTGCAGCGTGAGGAGATGTGCAAAGAAAGTAGAGATTAATCCTGAGGAGGCATCCAAGTAAGGCTTCCTGGGAAGGTGGCATTTGAGACTTTATGGTATAAGAGGTGGAGATGGGATCAAGGGCAAGCAGGGGAGAGAGTATAAGGCAGTAGTGGTGAACCTGCAGCATGAGTGCCGCAGCTGGCTGTGTGTTATCACTGAAAGCTCTGAAAGGTTTGCCATCATTGGTGTAAGGTATTTCAGAGAGACTTTGGATGCGAAACTGTGGTAGGCTGGGGGCATAACTCTACATCTCCACAGGTCTAAGGACATAGAGGCCTCAGGTTTCAATGGGACAGCAGCCTTCATGGAGGTGCGAGTGCAGTCCATCGTCGTGGAGTTCATCCTCACACATGTGGATCAGCTCTTCGGGGGTGCTGCCCTCCTCTCTGGTCAGTGCCCTTCCTGTTCATCACGTATCATCACTCTCGGTTTGGGGAGTCATGTCAGAGTATTTTGGGTTTTTTTTTGCAGTGTTGGGGGTTGAACCCAAGGCCTTCACACTGAGATACATCTCCAGCCCTTTTTAAAATTTTTATTTTGAGACAGGGTCTCAGTAAGACACTAAGTGGCTCAGGCTGGGCTTCAACTTGTGATCGTCCTGTCTCGGCCTCCCAGAGTACTGGGATTACAGGCCTGCACCGTCACGCCTAGTTCTGTCAGAGTTATAAACAACTTTAAAGGTTAACTAGTTCCTTATTTTAAGGATGGGAAAACTGAGTCTCCAGAAATGTTGGTGATAGTCACATGGAGAAGATCCTGGAGAGATAACAGCAGTCTGAACTTGAGCAGGCCCCTTTTGCTGTCTGTCCAAGGCATAGCTTGACCTTTGAGTCAGTGTCCTGGCTCCCAAAACTAGTGAAGGCTCACCCCCCCGCCCCACCCTGCCAGGCCAATGTCCTGGGATCTCCTGGCCCTCTTTGTTCATGAAGACATGTTCTTGTGGAGCTATAAGTGGAGGGACTGTCCTCTGGGACCTCCAAATACATCCCCAGCTGGTAACTGGTGAGAAGAAGGGCTGGGTACCCAATGTCCCTCTCTCGCTCTGTTCTTTGCCAATTCCTTTTCTTTTCCTAGGTGGTGAGATGGAAGGTGGATGGCGATCAATGCTAGTGCCCCGGGCATCAGGCAGCCCTGATGACCTCATGCCCAGGTCTCTACCTTACCACCTGCCTAGCATCCTGCAAGCTGGTGATGGACCCCCTCAGATACGGCCCTACCACACTATCATTGAGATTGCAGAGCACAAGTAAGGCTGCCTTTGAGCCCTTCCCGGCTGCACTGATCACCGGGCTCCAACCTCCAATTATTTCTCCATCACCCGCAGGAGAAAGGGGTCTTTGAAAGTCAGGAAGTGGAGATCTATCTTCAATCTGGGTCGCTCTGGTCATGAGACAAAGCGAAAACTTCCACGGGGAGCTGAGGACAGGGGTAAGTCTGGGCAGAACAGGGGAGCTCTGCCGATGGTGTGCAAAGCCCTTGGCTCTATGCACATCCCTGTCTTTCAGAGGACAAAACCAATAAAGGGACACTGCGGCCAGCCAAGAGCATGGACTCACTGAGCGCTGCAGTGGGGGCCAGTGATGGTGAGCACAGGGGTATGCCCCTGGGTGTACATGTGCTGGGTGAGCAACAGTGAGGCCTGTGTGTGTGTGTGTGTGTGTGTGTAAATGTGGCCAAAAATATTTAATAAGTGCTTATACACCAGCCATGGTGACAGATGCCAAGTTTATATTGGCGAGCTTATCATCTAATCCATGGGCGAGTCCATGAGTGTTTACAGGAAGGGACCATGTGGTGTATGTGCTTGTGTGTGGGAGTGATGGCCAGTGACTGTATTTGCAGGGAGGGAAGGGGGTTCCCTAGGTATGTGCAGACAAGGTGACCTTTGGTGTGCTGGCTGCGTGGAGGATATATAGTAATGGCCAAAGGAAGTTGGGCCTGGTACTTTCTAAGCTGTCCTGCCTCTGTGGCCCAAGAAGGCAGAGAGCATTCTCCAGAGCCTTCTAGAGGTGTCTAGGACCCTGGAAGCTGAGACTATCACCTCCCTGATCCTCTCTTTCCTCCACAGAGCCAGAGGGGCTGGCAGGGCCCAGCAGTCTCGGGCCAGGCCCACTCCTTCCTGAGAGTTTGCAGAACAATTCTATGGAGGCAGTAGAGGGTGAACAGGAGCCTGAAGCAGAGGCACCAGGTGGCACGAACTCGGAGCCAGGCACACCGAGAGCTGGGCGGTCAGCCATCCGAGCTGGGGGCAGCAGCCGTGCAGAGCGCTGTGCTGGTGTCCACATCTCAGACCCCTACAATGTCAACCTCCCGCTGCACATCACCTCGATCCTCAGCGTGCCTCCCAATATCATCTCCAATGTCTCCTTGGCCAGGCTCACCCGTGGCCTTGAGTGTCCTGCCCTACAGCCCCGGCCAAGCCCTGCCTCAGGCCCGGGCCCTGGTCCTGGCCTTGGCCCTGGACCCCCAGGTGAGGACCCAGGGATTGCTGAGGACTGGAAAGAGGACCAGACATTAGACTGAATTCTTTTTTTTTTTTTTGGTTTTTCTCCGGTACCGGGAACCGAACTCATGACCTTGCGCTTGCCAGGCAGGCGCTTTTGCCACTGAGCTAAATCCCCAGCCCCTAGACTGAATTCTTATGTTGAGGATGCACTGAGATAGGTAAAGGCTTCAGCCCACAGGCTTTTGGGTGGTTACCATGAGCTGCCTTGCTGGATTCAGGCTTGGGGTGCTCAGCAACGTGATCAGATAGTGTGAAATCCTCAGAGAGGGGCTCTCTGGCAGCCTTCAGATGACTGATGTACCCAAGGATGGGGTCTGTGTCACACATACAGCAGGGATTACTAAATATGATGGGTGGGGGTAATAACCATAGTAGCATTAACAGCTAACTTCTACCAAGGGCTTATTATGAGCCGAGGGCTATGTTAGGCACTTTGCAGGCATTAGCTCTTTCCATTTTCTCAAAATCTTATGACGTGGGTATTATTGTTATCCTTATATTACTGCAGTGGAACCTGAGACTTAGGTTAAGCAATTTGCAATTGACTCAGATAGGAAGGGGCAGAGCTGGGATTTGATCCTTGCTCTGGCTCCAGTTCTTGAAGTGGTACTAATGAGAAGTCCTGAGGCAGCATGCGACAGGAGGTAAGGACATGGGATGTAGAGTTAAGTATTGGGTTCAGATTTTGGTGGTGTGACTTTGGACAAGTTGCTCAATCTCTCTGAGTCTCAGACAATACCCCATGTAATAATAGTTTGCTTTGTTGAGCAAATAAGATGATGAGTTGTAAAGTGTAAAACATAGTGCTTGGCACCTGGCAGGGGCTCCACAATGGTAGCCATAAGCCACTAATTAGAGATGGGTCTAAGGGGATCAGCTATGTGGAATAGCTGTGTTGGGTCCCTACCATATCAATGCTAGGAAGAACCACGTTAGAAAGAGTCAGGGCTAGGGCCTGGGGATTTAGCTCAGCGGCAAAAGTGCCTGCCTGGCAAGTGCAAGGTCGTGAGTTTGGTTCCCGGTACTGGAGAAAAAAAAAAAAAGAAAGAGTCAAGGCTGGCCTTGATTTTTGTGTTCCTGGGACTACCTCTCCCCCAACAGATGAGAAGTTGGAGGCAAAGCCAGCTCCGGGTCCCCTGGCTGACTCAGGCCCAGCAGACATGATTCCTGCTCTGGAGGACTGCCTGTCCCAGGAGGTGCAGGATTCCTTCTCCTTCCTAGAGGACTCAAGCAGCTCAGAGCCTGAGTGGGTAGGGGCGGAGGATGGGGAGGTAGCCAAGGCAGGAGCAACAGGAGCAGCCTTCTCCCCTGGGGAGGACGACCCTGGGATGGGCTACCTGGAGGAGCTCCTGGGAGTTGGGCCTCAGGTAAGGAGGAGCTGCGCTGGGTTTGAGGGTGGTATGGAGTCCAGAGGATGGACAGGGCCACCTGGTCCTGAGCCACAATGCTGTGCCTACAGGTGGAGGAGTTCTCGGTAGAGCCACCCCTGGATGACCTGTCTCTAGATGAGGCACAGTATGTTCTGGCTCCCAGCTGCTGTTCCCTGGATTCTGCTGGCCCCCAGCCTGAAGTGGAAGAGGACAACGGGGAGGAAGTCTTCCTGAGTGCCTACGATGACCTAAGTCCCATTCTGGGGCCTAAATCCCTGACCTGGGAGAGTGTAGGGAGTAGGGAAGAAGAGGCAGTAGGGTCTGAAAGGCAAGCTGCAGGGCAGGCTGAAGAAGATCAGGCATGCTGGGAAGTTGGGGAGGACAAGGAGGCAGGGCCTAGAAGCAGCCTGAGCATCATAGAAGAGGCTGAGGGCAGTCCAGAGCCTGAGGTGATGGATGGAAAGGGTGGTGAGGAAGGAGAGGAGGCTGAGGGAAGCCAAGAGATGATGGTTAGCTTGGAAGAAGAGAAGGGGGAAGAGAGGGAGGCCAAGGGAGAGAAGTCTCAAGGACAGAAGGAGGTTGAAACTATAGAGGAAGCTAAGAGTGGGGAGGAACCAAGAAGAGAACAGCATAAAGACACAGAGAAGGAAAAAATAATTGAAAAAGAAGAGGCTAGGCAAGAAGAAGAGGAAGCCCCCACAGAAGTTGGAAGGGACCCAGAGCATGGAGCCCAGGAACACCTGGTTGCTAAGGAGAAGTGGGAAGCTGTATACAAACAAGAGACTGAAGGAGGATGGCATGAGGTCAAAGAGCAGAAGGGGGATGAGGACCAAAAGGCAAGAGAAGACCAAGGACACAGTGAAGACAGCAGAAGCACAGAAGCAGCAGCTAAAGGAGGAGATGGGGAGGTCAGCAAGGAATGGGGAAGTGGGGTTGAACAGGCTGAGGGAGACCAGAGGGCTGGAGATGACCATTTGGAAGAAGGGGTCCTCTTTGAAGGGCCAGATATAGAGTCCCTAGAAGTTGACAGTACCAATGAGGGCAATGTCCAGTTTTCTGAGATGGAAAAGGCAACCCCACAGCCACCCCAGTCAGAGGAGACAGAACCTGAGGGACAGCTGAGTCCCGTGGGTTGTGATCTGTGCCCCTGTCCCTTTGGGTCAGCTGGTGGTGTGGGTATGCGCCTGGCTTCTAGCCTGGTTCATGTCCAACAGGTCCGCTCTGTGCCTGTGGTGCCACCCAAACCACAGTTTGCCAAGGTGCCCAGTGCAATGTGTAGCAAGATTCATGTGGCACCGGCAAACCCATGTCCAAGGCCTGGCCGGCTTGATGTGATTCCTGGGGAAAGGGCGTGGGTGTCCCGAGCTTCCCGATCTTCTTGGAGGAATGGGGGCAGTCTTTCCTTTGATGCTGCTGTGGCCTTGGCCCGGGACCGCCAGAGGACTGAGGCTCAGGGAGTTCGGCGGACCCAGACCTGTACTGGGGGAGTGGACTACAGCCTCATCAACAGAACCTCCCCGTGTCGCACCATCCCTGCCTACTCTCCTCGGCCCCTTAGCTGCCTGGAACTCCCACCTGAAAGTGCAGAAGAATCTGGACCCCGAAGTCGGCTTAGTCTGCCCTCTGGAGAACCCCAGCCACCTGTCCTTCTTTTGTCCCCCCAGCGCAGATCATATGCATTTGAAACACAGGTAAACCCTGGGAAAGGAGGACTGTGATTAGGAACCATGCACTGGGCAGAGCAGACCAAGTTATCTGGAATCTTTGGGGAGCCTGATTGGCTGTCTCTTTTTTCCTGAGCAGCTGTAGTGTCTCAGTTTACAGGTCTGGGCCCTCCAGCTACTCTCTGTGACTGTGGGAGGCACCATCTTGGTGGGTTTATTTGAGCTTGCCTCAGACACAAAGCACTCTAGAGATTCTCAAGAAAGTCAGCAAGATCCTGTTCCCATGAAGAGTGCTCACTGACCAAAGGGGACACAAAGCAGACAGAAAACTTAAGAGACTTTTCAAAGTGAAGAATAGAAGGGGAATTCCAACTAAGCTCCTTCTCTGAGGCTTCTCTGAGGCTGTGAACTTCTCTTTGCGGAAGCTGAAGGTAGAGGCGGGGAACACAAGACCAGGTCAAAGTCCACACACAGAAAATTCTAGAATTGCCCATTCCTGTTCTGTTCTTAGACCCTTCAATATCTCCTGTCCTACTTAGCTCCAGATCAGGAGGAACATGTTCAAGAAGCTCTTTGAATCCTAGTGTTGTTGGAAAGACTGGACCCCATCTTTTGTCTCCAATCATCTTACAGATGAGAGGTCCTGCCTGAGATTTCTCTACCCCTTCCTTTTTCCCTTGAAATAACTTTCTCCCATTTTAGGAAAGAGGAACAGCATGAGTCAGGACCTAGGACTGCTTCTGTATACTGGTGGGGCCTTAGGCCCCACTATAGTGAGGGTGAATGTTTCAGAATAAAATTTGTATTTTTACATTTGAACAGCATGATGATTCATTCTCATTAAAGTTTTGGGTGATAAGGATCATATTTTCATGTATTGGAGCAAATGTCATTTGGGGAGGGTGTTCTTCCTTGGTTGTCACGGAGACCTGTGGCTAGAATCTAGAGCTGGGTTGATGGTGGTCAGGAAATGGGGAAGAGAAACTTACATTTACATAATGCTCATGCTCATTTTGTGCCAGGAACTGAGTTAGGTCTTCTGTGTAGATAAAAACTTCACCTTTTATTTCATTTAATCCATGTAACAATTCTGTACATTTTACAGATAAGGAAACTAAGGTTCAATTAAATGATTGCCAAAAATCTGAAAGGTAAGAAGTGGCAGAGATGGATTTGAGATCAGGATTTATCTAACCCCAGGGTTTGAACTGTTTCTATTACACCATACTACTCAAATCCACTATGGGTACCTTCAGAATAGGAATGGGAATCAAAGCTAGGAGTGGTGGTGCACGCCTATAATCCTAGCATTTGAGAGGCTGACGCAGACAAAACTGCGAGGCTGAGGCAGATCAGCCTGAACTACATAACGAGCCCCTGATTTAAAAAACCAACCAACCAACCAACCAACCAACCACAAATTGGGAATCAAGGTTCTTGTCAGAGAAAGTGTGAGCCTCAGAAAAACTGGAAACCCCAGGTCTCTTAAGTGACTGCTGATCCCAATACAAAGGCATATTCCCACATATACATATGCCCTGATATGTCCCCATCTCTAGTTGGAAACTCTTCAAAATGATGCCCTGATTCAAGATGGTCTCCAAAATACTGTAGCCCTTGTTAAAGATGGCGCCTCCATTCGCTGTTCCTCCCGTGAACTCAGCTGGCTTCCCTCACTCCCTCTTCTTGTAATTAAAAAGGACCTGCCTAGCACGAAGGTGGAAGTCCAACCTAGTCGTTTTTTTCTCGTTCTTGTTGAAAGTCAGACATCCCCAGAAAACTGCTTCTTTTCGACACTAGGGACCACCCCCCCAACACACACACCTCAAACACCCACACACCCCACACACCTACGCCTTCTCCACCTTCAAGATTGAGCGAGCGGAAGTGGGGCTGCTCCGAGGCGATGAATGGGCTGGGCCGCTGGCTGAGACACTTCCGCCCCTCACCAACATGGCCGCGAGCTGGGACTGCGCATGAGCAGTTGTCTATGGAGATAACCAGGTCGGGAGAGGGAGAACGCCGTCTGGGGAAATCGGCGGCCGGAGCGGCTGTGGCCTGTGAGTGCGGGACCCCTCAGGGGTCTGGAAGCGGGGTGGACCTGGCCGGCGAGGTGGCTTTGGTTTTGTTTCAGTTTTCGGGGTTCGGGAACTCTTAGGGAGGAAGCCTTTGTTTGGGAGGAGGGGGCTGTGCCCCTTTCTTTATCTCCCACCCGCTTTGTGGGCCGGGCGCGCACATCCCCGCCCTCCTGCGCTGCCCGGCCGCGGGGCCCCCGGTCCCTGGCGTCCTTTGCTGCCACCTCCGCGCGGCAACTGGGACGCGCGGCGAATGCCGCGGGCCCGGCCGGGTCCTGTCGCGGGTTCCGGGGCTCGCGCTAGCAGGGGCTCAGCTCCCCGGGTGCCTCCGAGCGTGCCGGGCCTGCAGGGAGACGCCGCACTTCCCGGCAAGGTCCGGGAACTTGAATTCTTTCGGGACTTGATTTCCCTCCTTTGTGTCCAGACTTAGCAAGGGCTCTTGCCGGGCCCTCCTTGCTCGAGCGTGCATACCACAACATCCTAGCCTGATTTCCGTGTCACATATTCTTAATGCTTAGGAAATGCTTCCGGATGTCCAACTAAGATTTGAATAAGTAGCCTGACCCCGTTGCAGGGTTTCCTAGGAGGCTGTCTCTGGCTGACAGCTGTGGGCGATAGAGATGCCTTCTGTGCCCAACCGTCTCTTTTATTGCCTCCTCCTGCAGTCGGCGCAGCCAGCTTTGGAGAGCACTTCCTCCTTGGGTTCGAGGATGGAAATGAAGGTGGTCCCCAAATACTGGCGCTACAGTACTTCCCCTCGGGGACGGGAGTCTCCTGGCGGCGTTACTTCCCGCAGATAGTTTCACTTTCAGTTCCTTTTTGTTGTTATTGTTGTTACTATTTTTCTTGGACACGGGATTTCCAAGGCTTAGCCGCTAAAATTTTTTCTTGGATAAAAAGGTTTGAGGGACCTTATTGGTAGTGAATTTACAGAAATCTTGGCGCTTTCGTGGACTTTATTGTTTTATACTGTGTAGCAACTGTGTCTGCTTTATGCTGTGCACAGTATCCGTTTTTTACTGTGTAGCATTCTGGAGGCATCTGTCTGCTCAGCCCTTTGTTTTTCTTGTCCTCTGGCAGAATGTCAGGGTCCTCAGGCAGGCACCTTGTAGATGGATTCCTTCCCTATTGTCTTTTCTCCGACAGAATCCTGAGCCTGGAGTTTTTTCCCTTGTCGATGAGGTTCGGTTGACTTGAGGTTGTCATGGCAACATTTTAGCAACTGTGTTGCTGTACACTGTAGATTTCAGCAGCTGTGTTGTGCTACACTTCTACTGGAAGACTTATATGAAATAGAGGCGGCCTGAATGCCAGGCACTTGGGCTTTAGGATCTCTAATAGATGCTATAAATCTGGAACCCCCAAACAAAAGCCATGTCAGGAAGATGGGGCCTAAGAGCAGAACAGAAATTTCTTGCTGTGTATTTTGTGTCTGAAAAAAACTGGAAGAAGCATTAGTGTCCATGAGCCTGGTGTTTTGGTTTTTTTTTGACACAGGGTCTCACCATGTATTTCAGGCTGGCCTTGAACTCACTAGGTAGCCCTGGCTGGGACCCTGTATTTTTTTTTTTTTTTTTTTTATAGTGGTGGTCTAGACATGCCCACCCCATCCTCATGTAGCTGCTGTCATGGCAGATCATAATTGCTTTAATAATAACCCATAATAGCTTTAATAACAATCTTTCCAAAAATGTGTCCCATTTCTCAGTCTTCTAGTGTAATTATTCTCTTTCCACCATACGTTGGAGTGGTGATGGAGGGGAAAGAACGCTATTTGTAAAGCTGCTGTATCAGTCCCTGCAGGGCAGTCTTCAACATCAGAATGGGTGGAACAGGGAGTGGTGGCATATGCCTGGAGCACTGGAGAGGCTGAGGCAGGAGGATCACCTAGAGTTCAAGGCCTGCCTGAACAACGTAGCAGAGACTGTCTCAAGAAAAGAAAAAACAGTCGGGTGTGGTGGTGCATGCCTGTAATCCCACCACTCAGGAGGCTGAGGCAGGAGGATCATTGAGTTCAAGGCCAGCCTGGGCTACAAAGTGAGCTCACTGCCAGCCTGAACAGCATGTGAGACCCTGTCTCAAAAAGACAAAAAAAAAAGAAGAAACGAAAACAAAAAACATCAAAGTAGGTTAAGCTGATTGTCCCCTGCAGAAGATTGGGTTATTTCCTGGCTGTGTCTTCATTAGAACCTAGGTTTTAGAACAGTGGTGGCAAACCTATGGCACACGTCCCGCAGCTGGCTGTTTGACTAGGGAAGCTAGTTTCTTGGACTCACTGCAAACTCTGATTTCTATCAGGATAGCACTGAAGCCTGTGAGTCAGGAAATACAAAGACCTCCAAAAAAGGGCCAGTTCCTCGGATGTGCTCCCTCACAGAGAGATGAAGGGGTGAGTGAAGAAGAGTGGGCCTGGGATGAGAGAGGGGTGGCCTGGGAGGATGTGAAGTGGCTACAAGTGACGGCTCCACAGCTCTCACTTCAGGTCCCAGCTCCATCACTTAGCAGCTGTGTGATTTGGTTTCTTTAGAAAATAAAATAGAAATAGTGTTTCCTACCTTATGGTGCTGTTATTGGTATTAAGTAAGACAGTGTATGTTTAAGTGCTTAGTTTAGTGCCTGAGTGCTTAGTAAACTCTTGATAAACAGTAATTATTATTCTAACCTAACCCAGCATTCCATATCAGTGAGTTTGGGGGCCATATGTTACTGGGCCAGTGAGTTTCTCACATACTATCTTATTCTTCCTTTTTTCCTTTCACCACAAACAGGCAGCAGAAAACAGCTGAAACAGAAGAGGGGACAGTGCAGATTCAGGAAGGTGAGTGTTGAGACTAGGACCAAAGCCATGTATGGTATCATAGGCCTATAATCCCAGCATTCTGGGGAGCTGAGGCAGGAGGACAAGTTTGAGCTCAGCCTCGGTAACTTAAAAAAGACCTAATGAGACCTTATCTTAAAGTAAAACAGGACTGGGTATCTAGCTCATGTGAAGGCCCTGGGTTCAATCCCCAGAACTAACCAAATAAGTAAAAAAATACAAAAGACAAGGGAAAAAAAAGAAGGAAAAAAAAACCAACAGGACCGAGAACCTATTGTGGCTTCTTTCCATCCCAACTGGCCCACCTCCGATGCACCTGGCTTGGTCTTCTTCTTTTTGGTGGGGGGGTGTCCTGGAATCGAGCTCAGGACCTTGCGCTTGCCAGGCAGGGGCTGTGCTGCTAAGTTAATCCCTGGCCCACGTGGCTTATTCTAAATAACATGCAAGTAGTACAGAGTGAGGAAGAGAGGCCGTTAACTCACAGACCTTTCCTTGGCTCTTTTTTTGAAACAGGGTCTCATATAGTCCAGGCTGGCCTTGAACTCACGGTGGTCCTCCTGTCTCAGCCTCCCGAGTGCTGGGATTACAGGTGTGTGCCACCATACACAGCTTCATTGGCTCTTTTAACTCAGGTGCAGTGGCTACTGGGGAAGACCCAACCAGTGTGGCTATTGCCAGCATCCAGTCAGCTGCCACCTTCCCCGATCCCAACGTCAAGTACGTCTTCCGAACTGAGAATGGGGGCCAGGTAAGGGAGGGAGCCAGGCGGCTGCAGGTGTTCCGTGGGGTTTGGGTTGAGGGAGGTAACTGAATGTGTCTTGGGAGACCTGGCTTGGAGGATGTGACAGTGTGGACTCTTGGGGTGGGGGCTGTAGGAGGTTGGGGTCGAAATTCATGTGGACTAAGGGTGGGCTGAAACTGTGTTACGCGGAAAGAAGGGAGAATGGCTGAGTCTGTATCTCTTCTGTCTTCCTTTCCTGCCCTTGTCTGCTTCTAGGTGATGTACAGGGTGATCCAGGTGTCTGAGGGGCAACTGGATGGCCAGACTGAGGGCACCGGAGCCATCAGTGGCTACCCTGCCACTCAGTCCATGACCCAGGTACAGGGGGATGGGCTGTGGAGGGGGCCAGAGCTCTGGGCATATGAGGAAGAAGGGAACCAACGGGATGGGGGTGCAGCTACATACAGTGAGACGTCTTGGGCTGCCTTGACCCACAGTACTAGGCTCTCCCTTTCTTGCTATGTCTCTGGGATAGAAGCTGCAGAGAACCACAGCAGGAAGATGTATCTGACTGTCCCTGGACTCTGTTCTCTTCCTCCTCTTCCCAGGCAGTGATCCAGGGTGCTTTCACCAGTGAGGATGCAGTTGACACAGAGGGGACAGCTGCTGAGACACATTATACCTACTTCCCCAGTACTGCAGTGGGAGATGGGGCAGGGGGTACCACTTCCGGGAGTACAGCTGCTGTCGTTACTACCCAGGGCTCAGAGGCACTACTGGGACAATCCACCCCTCCTGGCACTGGTGAGCTATGGCATGAGGGTGCCACCTTGAGGGGCTAGGAATGGCTGTGGGATGTGGTGGGGGCCGTGGGCCTTTACTCGTGACCCGTGGTGATCATTAGGACCTGGGCAGACAGAGTCTGAGGCTGTGCTGTTAGCAGGAGGGAGTGCAGTCTTGTCAGAGAAGGCAGGGTGCTGATAAGGTTCCTTGGCCCAAGTCCTGACAGAGCCTACCCCGAATCTTCACAGGTCAGTTCTTTGTGATGATGTCACCACAAGAAGTATTGCAGGGAGGGAGCCAGCGTTCGATTGCCCCCAGGACCCACCCTTATTCCCCGTGAGTGACCCTTGTGTCTTCTTAGTTACCATGAGTGGTCTTAATACCTGCTAAATCTTGATAATCGCTCACCCCGGACTCTAATCTTGTTTTTTGTCCTATCTTCACTCTGGCCACCCTGTGCTCTGTTGTCAGGAAGTCAGAAGCTCCAAGGACCACTCGGGATGAGAAACGCAGGGCTCAGCATAACGAAGGTAGGTCCAATTGGGGTGAAGCCAGGAGCTGTCTGGTGAGATAGGGAGCCTTGGTGATGTCTAAGGGGAGGAGGCCTGATCAGGACCCTGAGTTTTCACCAAGTCACCTTGTCTTCCACTTTGGTCCACAGTGGAGCGCCGTCGCCGAGACAAGATCAACAACTGGATTGTACAGCTGTCCAAGATCATCCCGGACTGCTCAATGGAGAGCACCAAGTCTGGCCAGGTCATGCAAAGACCCTGGTAGTGGACAGGGGGCCTGAATTGTCTCCTGGTGTTTCCAAACATGGTAGAGGGTGGGGCACAAAGGGCAGTAGTCTTCTCATATCCTTTTCTGAGGGTCCTGTATCCTTGGGAGATGCTATGCCACTATTTTTAGGGAAGAGGAGGAATGAGGTCCAAAATGTGGTTGTGTTTTTGGGAAATAAGCTAGACATCTTAAATCCTCGTCCTCATTTTGTTGGCTTTGTCTTGCAGAGTAAAGGTGGAATTCTATCCAAAGCCTGTGATTATATCCAGGAGCTTCGGCAGAGTAACCACCGGCTGTCTGAGGAGCTCCAGGGGCTGGATCAGCTGCAGCTGGACAACGATGTGCTTCGACAGCAGGTCAGGCCCCCAGCCTTGGACAGTGGCTTAACCACCCCTGTAGCCACCCACCTGGTCTGGGACTCCCTCCTCTGTTCTCCATAGACAGCACTTCACATTTTCCTCCTCACTTGCAGATGTCTGAATGAGTTCAGAGGCTTGGCAGTGCCAACTTTACTACCCTTTCCCCTTTCTCTCTCCTTCCCATGCCAGGTGGAAGATCTTAAAAACAAGAACCTGCTGCTACGAGCTCAGTTGCGGCACCACGGATTAGAGGTTGTCATCAAGAATGACAGCAACTAACTATGAGGACTCGGGGGGCTTTGGGCCTGAGGACTGCAGATCGCCCAGGAGCAGCAGGCTGATCCCATCCCCTTTCCTTCACTGCCCACTCCCGGCCTGGGACTGGGGCAAGTTCGGAAGTCGTGTCCGACCCGAGCCTCTGGTGTAGCGGCCTGCAGTGTGTGAAACACGCAGTGTGGATGTGCACTGGCAGCCTCGCCCGCCCGCACCACGCAGCCCCCGGGCCCTTGTGCTTTTTCTTGCACAATGCATGTGCTGTCTCCATGCCGGATATGGGACACACTAAACTGAGGGGCGTGCCCTGTGCTTGCTTAGAGTGCCCGACAGGGTCCGCTGACAGGGAATGCCCTGGCTTGGCCCAGGACTCTGGCGCTTCCACTGGTTCTTCCCTTCCCTGGAGCTGAGGTTCAGGTGTGCACCTGGCTGCTGGGGAACAGGCTTAATGAAGAAGATGGGGCGGATGCTTAGCAGCGTCTGCTGCTCCACGAAGAGGAGACTGGCCAGTGAGCAGCTGAGGCCTATGCAGAAGTCTGAAGCCAGGGAGAACAGGCTGGGGCCCAAGTGGGGCCTTTCCCCTTGGGGGAGTGGTTCTTGATTTTTTTTTTTTCCTTTCTTTCTGTCCCTCCCTTCTTCCCTCCTCTTCCTTTTTTTTCCTTCAAAGATAAAAGTGTTCAGAGCCACAATTGTCTATTTTGCCTATTTTTCCTCTTTCTGTGAGCCCAGGGCAGGAGGGAAGGACACATTGCCCTTTGACCAATAAGGGGCTGGGACAACGTTAGCGTGGGGTGCTGCTCCTGAACTCCGCCCTAAGTCCTGGTACCTGTGACAGACCAGGGTGTCGTTTCAGGCCCGTGCTGGGCAATCCCAGGGTTCCCTCAGGTGGGCCGCAGAGAGGCGTTAGGAACAGGTGCAGCTGGAGCCGCGCAGAGGCGGTGCCTTTGCTTCCGGTTCCGGTCTGGCTCGGGAGGAGGGGAGATGCTGCGGGCGCCCGGGCGGCCGCTTGCCGCGTTCCTGCGGTTCGCGATCGCTGCTCGGCTCGCGATCGCCGCTCGCACTATGGCTGCAGGTACCTCTTAGGGGACCTGGGATGGACTGTCCGGCCTGTGGCCCCGCGAGTGCGCGAGCGCAGAGGCCCCGGCGTGGAGGAGGAGTGAGGGGCGTGGCCGGGAGGTGCTGGGCTCCTTGCCACCCAACCGGGCCAGGTGAGGGGCTCGGCGGACCCCAGTGCCTCGCAGCCCCTTCTCCTGAAGGCTCGCTCGCTCCCCCTCTTCAGGGCCCACAGTCTCGCTCCCTGAGCTCCGGTCACTCCTAGCTTCGGGCCGGGCCCGGCTCTTCGATGTGCGATCTCGGGAGGAGGCGGCGGCGGGGACCATACCCGGGGCGCTCAACATCCCGGGTATGGGGTCGGGGAGGAGATGCCGGTATGGGGGCTGAGCCAGTAGAAGAAGGTCTTGGCTAATGGGTCCCCAACTTAAGGTGGCGGTGGGGGCCTGGAGGTCTGCATTCCCTTCCATTCCCTTGGCTGGCACTCAGCTTCCCCCAGAAGGGCTGGTTGGAGGCAGAGGCTGCAGCGGAACCGGCCTGTCCGGTTTGCCTGGAGGAGGGGAGGCAGAGGCAACCATTCCACTTGACCTCCTTGAGGCCCGGTGACCTCCTAGCGACCAGGGAAGCTGCTCACATTCAAAGGTTGTTTGGCTGACTTCCTGCACGGGTTGGCTGTTTTTTGCCCTTGAGGTTAGGATGGGGGAGGAGATGACCACCCTCTGTTGTTTTGGGGTCGCTGGAGATTTGTTCCACCGCTAGGACCCAGCTCTGGAAGGCCCAGCTCCTAAACCTGGGAGTGCCATCGCCGCCACAGCTGGCTTTCTTCACCTTTTACCTCCTGGCCCCTCTCCCAGTGTCCGAGTTGGAAAGTGCCTTGCAGATGGAGCCAGCTGCGTTCCAGGCCTTATACTCCGCTGAGAAGCCAAAACTGGACGATGAGAATCTTGTCTTCTTCTGTCAGATGGGCAGGCGGGGCTTCCAGGCCACACAGCTGGCCCAGAGCCTTGGATACACAGGGTACAGGCAGTGCTGGCTGGGATGACTGGGGACTGCCCACCGGGGCTGCCCTCCCTCACCCTTTTTTGCCTCTACAGGGCTCGAAACTATGCTGGGGCCTATCAGGAGTGGTCAGAGAAGGCGGGGTAGGCAGCGGGTGGCTTACTGATGGTCCCTGCCGTGGCCACCTCCACGCTGACGGTCCCTCCCTCCGTCCCTCTCTCGGCCACCTTCACAAAGGAGGGTGAAAGGGCCAATTGCTGGCTTGCCCTGGGCTGGGCAGCTACTTATAGTGCTTTGCACATGAGTGTTAAATAAAGAACACTTAATTAAAGTATTGGAAGTACTTAATTTTGGGTGGACTGAAAATAGTTCTACTCTTAATCTAGACCTCCATTCAGCCCTAGATCATTTATCTTTCTAGCATTCATCTTCTGCACTCCCAACCCCCAGATATCAGCAGTTTCCTGACATACTGCAATTCTAGAGTTGTTTTCAGGGTGCATGTCAGATTTACTTAATAGCTTCAAAACAAACAAACAAAAAACCTTGGGCTGGGGGTAGTGGCAAGGGCTTTAGACCACACCACCTGGGAGGTTGAGGCAGGATGTTTGTTTGGGTTCCGTTGGTTTGGGGCCAGCCTCTGCAACAAAGTAAGAACCCATCTCAGAGGGCTGGATTTACAGCTCAGCAGCATAAGCGCCTGCCTGGCAAGTTTGAGTTCATGCTTTCCATTCCGGATACAAAAAGAAAAAACAAAACATAGAAGAACCCATCTCAGGAAAAGTAAAAAATCTCTGGCCCCCTTCCAGAATCTGGGGGTTGGGGCCTGGGCATCTGTGGCTTTGCTGGGCCCTTTGGTGATCCCCCCTCTCTGTACTGGAAATCGAACTAGTGACCTTCCGCTTGCCAGGCAGGCACTGTGCCTATGAGCTAAATCCACAGCCCCCCTTTGGTGATTCTAATTGTGCAGCCAGAAGAAAGTACTACTGCTCTAGACTCTGGGCCAGCAAACTGACCCTAAATGTGTACTGCTGTGACCACTGCTTTATTTTTATTTATTTTGGGGACAGGTTTTTTGTTGTTGTTTTTGCCTTTTTGAGACAGAGTTTCACTGTGCAGTTCAGGCTGGCCATGAATTCACTTTGTATCCCAGGTGGGACCCAAACTCACAAAGATCCTGCTGCCTCAGCCACCCGAGTGCTGGGATTACAGGCATGTGACACCATACCCGGCTGAGACAGGGTTTTTCTATGTAATCCAGGCTGGCCTTGAACTCACGGTGATCCTCCTGCCTCAGTCTCCCAAGCACTGGGACTACGTGAGTGCACCACCATGTCTGGCTGCTCCCTTTATATATCGTCTGTTTTCAAGCAATATGGCAGAATAGCTGTGCCACACACTGTATGTCCTCTAAAGCCTAAAATGGTTACTATGAACCTTTAGAGGAAATATTTATCGGCCATTCTCCTAGACCAGTGATGGTGAACCTTTTCAAGACAAGTGCCCAAACTGCAAACCAAAATCCACTTATTTATTGCCAAGCGCCAACACTACAATTAAACCTGAATTTTGAGGTTTTAGTTTAGGAAAAACAACTCATAACATGGCTCACGTTCTGACTGAGGGCTCTGCATGCCCACTGTAGAACACATGCTGTAGTTTCGCCACCACTGGTCTGGACCCGTAACTCCTCAGCCCCAACCTAACATTCTTCAGGCTCTGACACTGGGTAGAGGAAAGGAAAAGGCAAATCCCGGGCCTTTGGGTGAGGGAACTGATGACCTCCTCATTCCGATGGGTTACTGGTATGAAGAGCCCCCTCTGTGCCACCCAAAACAGGGTCTTGTTTTCGTCACCGTTTGTAGGTATCTGTAGTGACAGGTCCCGAGAATGACGTGCCTGCGGATGAATAAGAAAAGGTAAATGATAAGAAAAACAGGAGAGGTAAAAGTCTGGGATCAGGGGGCCCACAGCCTCTGGGACTGCAGCCCCATCACCCATCTCAATTGCCTTTTATTGGAACCCAGAATGTAACTCAGACCAACAGGAGAAATTCATTATCCCTTTCCATTTCTGCCTCTCAGCTGATGCTAACAATCCTCGGGCGAGCCTCCCACACTCCGCACACATGTGCTCAGCACGGCTGGGGATCATAAACCGACCATCGGTAATCAGAGTTCATTAGCAATCACAGTCCTTCCCCCACATGTCCCCCTTTTTGTTTGAATGCAATCCTTTGACACATCAGCAAGAAGGTTACCAATTGCCTTCTGTTTCTCAGTGTTTCCTGGATGAACTTTGCTAGACTAAGGGGATGAGGCAAAGTACAGTGATAATATCGCAAGAAATGACAATGGCTGTTTGCAAAAATGAGAACATAATTCAGAGTCCATAACAATGATTAGCCTTCAATCTACATCTTGAGATCACATTTTTCTGCTGGATATCTAAGACCGAGTTAGAGTGAGATTTGTATAAATAAAAGTTTTAACCTTTTACTATCTATCAGGGTCAGTGAGTTCTCCTCAGGAATCTTCTTGGAACTAAATGCAGCATCCCTTGATCTTCTGTCAGTGTCAGCCATCCGGATGAGTCACGGCCATTGCTTGACCAAGGTGCTTTCTGTGAAAGCCTGAGAGTTTTTTTCCCTCTTAGTGACTCTCCTTAGGCACACTATAGGTCATAGAATCACTTTCCTCTGTGGTCCCATAATCTCCTTGATCAGAAAATTAGGGACTCAACCAAGTTATAGGATGTTATAAAAGAGGTTCTCTTCTGTCCTGAGTCTCTACTGACCTCAGAGGGCATAGCCAAAATATTGGCTGTGTTTTTAGCCCAAATTATCTTTCTGATATTTAGTCTCCAAATCGCAGTTGTTAAACATCCAGCAGAGAAGATTAGTGATATAACATCCAAATGAAGGCAACAAGCTTAACATTATAATATAATCTAAATAGCAAACACCCTGGAATGTACAAATGGAACCATAATTTTTTAACAACCATGGATATTCCAATATTCAAATCTTAATAGCATATTTTTTTTTAATTTTTTTTTTTATTTTAAAGAATAAAAGAAGGATAACATAATAATAGGGGGGACTTAGCAAATTACAGACAAAGTGGTAGGAAATTATCAATGGTTATCATTTTACATATTATTATCTACAAAATAGTTTCTCAGGAAAACAAATAGACAAATAATAGTGAGTTACAGACCAAAGAG